GATTATTGCAGTGGCTGAGCAGTGTAGTAGCCTCAAGGAATTTTACTTGAATAATTTCAAATTGAAGGTGGGGGATGGGAGGAGAATCAGATTTTGGACTGATATGTGGTGGCAGCCTGTGTGCTTGAAGGATGAATTTACAATCTTGTTTAGGTTGGTTGTGGATAAAAATGAATCCTTAAGAAGTGTGGTTGATAAGAGAAGTGTAGTGGGTGGCTGGTTCTTTGAGTTTAGAAGGGGGCTATATGAGTGGGAAGAGCAAGAGTTGACAAGGCTTTTTGAATATCTGAGGGGGGCTCCTGTTCAGTGCTCAGAGGGTGTTGATAGGCCTACATGGTTAGCTTCATCTGTTGGGATATTCATAGTGGCAGATCTGTACAGGAGGGATGTGGATAATATGGGTGCCAGGATGAGCATTCCAAATTGATTTGGCTTAATTATATCCCTCCTAAGGTGCAGGTTTTTGGTTGGTTCGCATGGAAGAAAAGACTTAAGTCTAAGGAATTTTTGCAAAAACTGGGGGTGATCAACTCTAGTGATTCTATTGCTTGTGTGTTTTGTGGCATTGACACTGAATCAGTGACTCATGTCTTAATCTGGTATCCTTTTGTGTGGAGGGTTTGGTCTGAAATGTTGGTTTGGTGGGGTTTCCAAGCTGCTATTCTAGGATCGGTGGAGTGTTTATTGCTGTGGTGGGCAGGGGAGAAGTTAAAGATGAAGGAAAAGAAGATCTGGAGGGTGATTCCATTGGCAGTGATGTGGTCTGTGTGGAAGTGTAGGAATGAGTGTGTATTCAGAAAAACTATCCCAAATCTGGAGGACCTTTGTGAATTAAATATAGGGTTGCATTTTGGTTGAAGCATGTCTTCAGTGAGTTTAATTTTTCAGTCCAGGATTTTGTGTTTAATCTGAGGCAAGTGAGGGAGTGCTTGGGTGGGTGTGGTGGTATGGTGTACAGAGCTGTGGTGTGCTGATCTGTGGTATGGTGTACTGATCTATGTTGGTAGGGTGTCCTAATCTGTTAGGCTTTGTTGCTGGGTGTAAGTAGTACTACTACTATGTTATTTTGGTGGGTCTTGACAGATACACTGGGCTGGATTGGTGTATTACCCATGAAGTACTGGGGTACTACTGTTTTGCATGATGTACTGGTGTATTACCCAGATTGTATGCTATTTTGCTGCCCGGTGTAATACTGTTTTGTTGTGTTGCTGCTTGGTCCATGTTGTTCTGTTGGGCTGGTAGGGTGTATTACTCAGATTTTGTGCCGTTAAGTTATACTAAACTGGTGTGTATGGGTAGTGTGGGAGGTCTTTGGTCTGATGTGGAAGTCTGTTTGTTTATGGGAAGATGCTTTGGTGTACAGATGCAGTTGTTCTTGGTTTGCATTCAATTGGGCTGGATTGTGTGGAGTAAATTGTTTCAGTTGGCAGCCGGGAGTTGTAGTTCTAATTGAGTATTTAGGTGTATGCTGATAGCTCTGTTATGTTGCGTATTTTTGAAGACGGGTAGTTATGTTCTGCTGTGTAGTTCTCACTGTTTTCTTTCGTCTTTGTTTCTTCTCTTGTTATTGCTCTTGTTCTCTGTTGGTTGGTTCCTTACCAGCTGGCGTTTGGAGCTTCGTTTTAGCTCTAAGCTCCTCTTTATTGATATACTGTTCCATACTTTGTATGTTGTCATCAATAAAGATTTTATTTTGCCTATCAAAAAATAATAAAATTGTTAATTGTTCACACTATTCTCCCAAAACTATAATTCAAATAAATTTAAAACTCTACTCTCAGTAAATAATTGTTAAATGGCTTTTAAATTCGACCCAGGTTCATCATTTGTCAAACCACTCAAAAGATTAAATGTAAAATTGTAAACACATTGCATTTATGCCTACTGCTAGTGTATATATTAATATGCATATATCAGTAATGTTAGGATCACGGAAGATTTTGCAAAAAATGAAATAGAAGGCTGAAATTAAACTCAATTATAGAATGACTCATATTCAAAATAAATTTCAATTTCAAATTATATTTTTTATGATTCATCCTGTATTTTAATTTTGTGTTTTCAACATTAATGTATGATAATTTTCTACACAAAGTGTGTCATTAATAAGAGCAAAATCCAATATAATATAAAATGATGGCCACTATAACCAACCATCATCATCACTATCCTTCAATAAATTCAAATGCTAATTCAATTGGGAACCCGACACACACACACACACCATTTGCTTACCTCACTGCCTCAGACTTTGTTCCCAACCCTACTATTTTACTCTGCCTTTTTGTACATTTATGTATAACACTATTTATTAATACTACTACTACACAATAACAGAAACCAAGCCCCACCATCTCTATCTCTCTCTCTCTCCCTCTCTCTCTCTCTTTCTCCCTCCTGAAATGGTGTTGTCTTGCTAAAGAAGAAGCCAAAGGGGAAAATAAAGAAGAAAAACAGTCTCAGTCATTGTCTAGGCAGTGAAGAATACACAAATGCTGCGGTAAACTTGTTCATTTTTTACATTGCTATACTATCTTTCTATCAAGGCTTTCAGCTAGGGTTAATGAATGGTCAAAGAGAGAGAAACTGTAAGGGCCTGTTTGGTGTCAGGGTGATAGAAATGAAAGCACTTCTTTTATTTTAGTCATCATGAATGAGAGAGAGAGAGAGAGAGATTTGACTTGTATCTAATTAATAAACTCAGCTTTCTCTCTAATTCCTTTTTGTAACAGAGAAAATCAAACTAGTAAACTTGGTTCCCACTTCTAATGGTGTCACACTTGCATTTGTATATATATATACAATATGTTATTGCATTTAAAGTGAACAAATTACAACAAAACTTACCCCTAAATATTTTTAGTGACGAAACTAAATATTTATGAATTACTAGTTTTGTGATTAAATTTTTTATCTCAAAAAATAAATACTTTTTACACAAATTTGATTAGTCTCTAAAAGTAATTTTCTATTTTTTTAATCAGTGAAAAAAGAAGATTATATTGACGTAAAAGAATTACGAAGGAATCCAAAGTGACAACAGCAACATTTTCAAAATTTTCTTACTTTTGACTTTTTTTAGGGACTACTCTTATAATATTTTTTGTAACAAATTTTTTGTTTTTAAAAATAAAAAAAATAATCCCTAAAATTCTTGTATATTGTAGTATATCATATATAACATGTTTTGCATGCATCAAGTGACCCACAGGCTTTTCTATTAGTTTAAAAATGTTTAAATGGACCACAGGTACACAGATTAGACTTGTACATGTTACCTTGTAGTAGTAAAGCAAAATTATTAAATAATCTGAAATATCATGTAACATTTATATAGTGCCATTTTGGGAACATAGTAAAAAATGTCCAAAAACATGGCCGTAGAAAACGCAACAAAATTCCTTTGGAAAGTGCCAAAAACGCAGCCCTAAAATTACAAATTAAGGCCTATGAAAAAAATTAAAAAAAATAAATCTCTTATATTGGGTAAGGATATTTTGGTCATTTTAATTTGATTTGACACCATAAATAAATATTAAACTAAAAGTAAAAAGTCAGTTTTTTACCAACTTCCCAAATCACTTCCAAAAAAGTCAAAAACCTTCGTAAAAAATTAAAAGCCAGTTTTTTACCAACTTCTCAAAATAACCATATAATATTCTTGGTTAATAAAAATTTACAATGCACACTAGTGAATCATTATCTCTCTAAATTACTTAACAAAATGAATTAACATGACGATTTTATATTATAGATTGGGGATATATTTCTCTCTCCATTCCTCTATATTTCATATAATTTCATCATATTTATTTTTTAAATTTTAATCTTATTTTTAAAAGTTTCACCGGTCTAGCTCATAAAAGCTACCATGGATCTCAAGTCAATGATCTATTTTATTTATTTTTTTGACCTTCCTACGTAAATTATTTATAAAAAAATTAGATTGATCAATAAATGTTGTACTTTATCATCTTTTATTTGACAGTTATTATGAATTAAATGCAGCATGTAGTACACAGTGCAGTGCCATGATACTCAGAGAACAATATCTCAAAAACCCTTTTGAATTTTTTTTTTTTTTTGGTTTCTTGTATATGTAGCCCTATAATGGGTTTGGGTTTTAACTGGAAATAATAAAACAATGGTCTGCTAGAACATCAATAGAGTTGCAGTTTGTTTTCCATATACATTGATATTTCAATAAATGCAAAAGAGGAAGAAGCAAATTTTCCTGGGACTGAAATGAGTGGATTGTGTCAGAATGGCAAGAAAAATAAGGCATTGGGTTTGAAGAGATAAAAGATATGTATATATATATATATATGAAGAGTCTTCAAAGAAATGGAGAGGACTGAGACTCTCAGAGTCTGAGAGGATCTACTCATGATGATGTGTGTAGAATTCTAAGGTTTGGTCTTTTATGATGATCCTTAATTGGGTTGGGAGTGTATTAAAAGTTATTTATATGGTAGTTTCTAATGCAGACTTCAAAATAATAATAATAATAATACAAGTAGATTTGTCAGTAAGAAAGCAAAAAATTTATTTTATTTTTTTTCAATTTTCGTGTTCATTTTCATTTAACAAGAAAGTAGTGAATCCATATATCTTTAATTTTCCTATTAAGACTTCAAAACATGTCTAATAAAAAATATAAGATTTTGTAAAAATAAAGCCAACGATACATTTTTTTTCTCTCACGCGGAATTGAAAACAAGTTCATTTCTCCTTTATTTTACGCAAATAGACTTTCTTTTTTTGAAGAACTTTCTTATATGAAATTCGTGACAACTGAACCGAGCCTAAAATAAACTCTTGGGATTAGGAACTTAACAAGAAAGCATATAAGGTATTTAGGATACGAGATCCCCTATCTCCTTTCTTTAATGTATTTCTAATTGAGTTTTTCACATAAATTTATATTTAGGAATACATGGAGAAGTAAAAGGAGTATAAATATGTGGGGTTTCCTTTGTTTGTGCCCTTATATATGTAAAGGCCTATAGGATGATGAGGGTTCCCTTTTTTCTTCATATAAAGATAGAAGAGTGAGTCATACTGTGTCAGGAAAGAAGGAAGGACTAATGGAACAACCACAACTCACCCCATTAGCTGTAACTCATCTCCTTCAACACACCTTGAGAAGCTTGTGCGTTCATGAAGACTCTCAATGGGTTTATGCTGTCTTTTGGAGGATCTTGCCTAGAAATTATCCGCCACCCAAGTAAGAATTAAACAAATACAAGTTTTTTTCTTTTCTTTTCTTTTCTTTTCTTTGTTTCAAAGCTCTATGAATTAACCTAATCTATTCTCTAGATAACTATACAGTTTCTGAGCTTAGTATCTTATTCTCTCTCTCTCTCTCTCTCTCTCTCAGATGGGATAGCCAAGGAGGAGTTTATGACAGGTCAAGAGGAAACAGGAGGAACTGGTATTTGCTTTAAACTCTTTCTATGTTAAAAGAGAATAATTTTCCATCATATTGCATCTTGTTCATCTTTCTCTCCCTCTCTCTCTCTCTCTCTCTCTCATACATACCACATGACAGGATACTGGTTTGGGAAGATGGGTTTTGCAATTTTTCAGCCTCAACAGCAGAGATCGCAGCCGGGGATTGTCCCGGCTCGTCGGTGTATGGAAACTGTGAATATCAGCACTACCAAGGTCTCCAACCAGAACTCTTCTTCAAGATGTCCCATGAAATCTACAACTATGGTGAAGGGTAAGTTAGGTCTATTAGTCTCCAATTAATAAGTTTAAGTATACATAAACTGATTAGGAAAAAAATTCAATGACACAGAAATTGATTATAGAATAAAACTTGACACATAATATGTAGAACTTATATTAGATGCCGTTAATATAAATTTTGTAACATTTTATGATTTTTTTGATAATAGTCAATTAAAATGAGTTATTTCTCTCAATTTTTGTTGTAGGTATTGCAGTCACTATGAATAGACAAGATATTTTAAAAATAAATCTCGCTAGCAAGTTTTGTAAAATCTTATCAGTTCAAGTGTATTGTGTATTCCATTATGTGTTCGTATCGAAAGCTCTAACAAGTTGATTTGGTTTTGGAGGCAGATTGATTGGAAAAGTAGCAGCAGATCATAGTCACAAGTGGATATTCAAGGAACCAAATGATCAAGAGATCAACTTCTTGTCTTCTTGGCAAAACTCAGCTGACTCGGTAAGCAACTCTCTGATATGATAATTCATGTTTAGTTGCTTACACTCAAGTTTTGTGTCATTTCATGTCATGTTTTCATTTGATTATACCAAAAATTTCATGTGTTTCTTGCTCTTTTTTCTTTTTTTTTCCTTCTCAGCAACCTAGGACTTGGGAGGCCCAGTTCCAGTCTGGTATCAAGGTATTTATATATTCATTTAGTTAGAGCAAGTTCATTAATGGTTAAACTCATGAATATATCTTCCAGACTATAGCCCTGATTGCAGTAAGAGAAGGCGTTGTTCAGTTAGGATCTGTTCACAAGGTTCTCTCTCTCTCTCTCTCTCTCTCTCTCTCCACATTATCTTTCAATTTTAACTCATTAGCACTATCATGCATCAAAGTTTGGAAAATACAATTCTTAAATATGTTTTGTATAAAATTTCATTAGCATGATGTGGCCATGATTTTAAATGATGATATCAGGAGATAATATAATAAACAATATTAGTCAATATAAAACAATATTAAAACCCTGGATGTGACAATAACATTAATTGACTTCGTTTAAAAAAATAAAAGTACTAATACAGTGAGATCATATTGTATAAATTCTATTATTTTTCTATTTATATATCATTACTCATCAAAGTTTTCATTTGATCATTTATCCTGGTACTTAAGGTGATTGAGGACCTGAGCCATGTAGTGTTACTAAGGAAGAAGTTCAGCTACATTGAAAGCATCCCTGGTGTCCTCTTGCCACATCCATCATCGTCGTCGTCGTCCTCACCACCACCACCACCATCAACATACCCCTTCAATGCTGCAGCACCAGAACTGGCATGGCACTTCCAAGGCCATCTTGCACCTCCTCCAATCGAATTCTACGACCATTTCAACCACCAACCCATGATGAGAATAACTCCCTCCATGAGCAGCCTTGAAGCCCTCCTCTCCAAACTCCCCTCCGTCGTGCCGCCATCTCCGCCAGCAGGGTCCACCTACTGTGAGGCTCAGCCACCACATTATTTGTCACCCAACAGGAATATGGAGCTGATGGGGATGGAGAAAGTGGTGGCAAAGGAAGAGATTGATGAGGCACAGAAGCAAGAAAAGGATGTGGGTGAGAGTAGCAGTTCCATGTCATCTTATCCACGTCATCAATTGCATTTTAGTAATTATCATCATGATCTGAATGTAACTAGCAACAGACCCAACAATGAATTTTGAAAGGGTGATTACTAAAGTACTAGGTTACATATAGGAATCATGGGTTGATTTCTAACAATGTAGCTCTTTAGCAAGTCTTGTTAGTTGTTTTTACTTCTCAACTTTCATGAGCTTATGAAGACTAGCTTAGTATACATATTCTGAAAATACTCGTGATCTTGATTTCTTGCCATGTAACCTCATTTGATGTTTCTTCTCAAAGTTGTGAATGTGCCCATTTGACAATCACTAGTATTATATTATCAAACACCAGCCCGAATCCTGTGTCTAGATCTTCTTGGTCTCTGTTCGAAATCACTTATATCACACGACAGACCCCTAACCTGATCGTGTGGTAGAAATGGACTGTAGATCAGAAGGGCAAGATACTTTAATTTGATCATGTGGTGGATAGACAACTATGGTGAAGGGTAAGTTAGGTCTATTAGTCTCCAATTAATAAGTTTAAGTATACATAAACTGATTAGGAAAAAAATTCAATGACACAGAAATTGAGAGAGATCACTTGTGTCATAAGGGATATATACTTTAAAGGCCAATAAAGTCAGTGAGTTAGAAAGAGAAAATCGAAAAAGGATACAGGCTAAAGTTCATGAAAGGTATATGCATCTAAGACCAACACAAGATGGCCCATTCCTTTGCTGCAATACACCCTAACATTCCTTGTGATTGTGATAGATTCAAATCTACCATACACAATAGAGACATATCTACACAACCCAAATTTTTATACAGCTATATCTGTATTCCTGTTCAAAAAAAGAAAAAAAAAAAACAACTGTAAAATTTTGGATTGGCTCCTCTCCTGTAATCAACAATGTAAACAAATTGTACCAGGACACATGTTGCTATCTACATGTAATCCTTGTAACCATCAGCATTCATCGACAATGCCAGTTGATGGTTTCCACTCGATATCTCAAATTCAATACCAAGCACTGCTGAATATGTACCAAAATCACACTTCATTTCTTTATATCTAATCGATCACAGATTCTCAAAGACAACCCTAGAAAGAAGAGACATAAAAAAAAATTCCATAGTTTACACAATGGGGCAATGTTGACCACAAGCATTATGCAATACAGACAAGAACCAAGTGGTCTGTTTTCTGAATTCAAAATTACAATCAATAGACTAGATGCAAATAATTATCACTGTATCAGAACAAATGTTTTGGAAAGAGATGAGCACAGTAATTTCAACTATATGGGGGGGAAAAATGGAATACAGACGATAATTTCCAAGGAATCATCAAGGTTTAAGTTGTAACCATATCATTGTGGTATACGTTTCTTCTGCACAAGCGCACTGCTAACGAAAAGCTGCCACTTCTTCCCTGAAGAATTTGAGCAGGTCCTCAGTGCTCATAACTGTAATGTTTGCTTTGTCTCTCACTCTCATGCTTACCTGGAAACATAAACAGGAATTACACTGGAGGCCTATATCTACAATAGTATGAAGGATAAGATTGCAATATCCATAACATTTGTTCATAAAACAGCAACTCGACAAGATTAAAATATGTACCAAACAAGAAACACGGGATAAAATCACAGAAAAGGTAGATACTTGACTATGAAGCATGGGTATTTCGAAAATATTGCCATATCAGAACCGGGTACTTACCCTGTGCAGATACACGTACTGGTATGTGAAATACTTTGGGTATGGCTCGGGTACAAGAAGGGTACTTCTCGGGTGTTTTGTGGGTGTACTTCGGGGTATAATTGTATTTCTTTAAAAATATAAGGATACTGGAATAACCATATCGTGTATGTTTTTAAGAACTTTAAAAAGATAAGGTATTTTTAAATCATAAAAAAATTTAAAAAATAAATTTGAGGTTCTTTTTTTTGACCATTACAAAATTACTTTAATTAGTTTTCTATTTGATTTTTTATTGCCATTACTACTACAAATATAAAAATATACTTTTTATTAACATACCGTGCCATCCCTGTATCCGACTGTTTTTTTATATTTTGCAATTTCAGCATACCGACAGTGTACTCCCACGCACACCCACACCTGCCCCCACAACCAAGCTTCCTAGATATTTAAATTTGAAGAGTCCAAATATTTTCCAACCTAAGGTACATGTCATTAAAATTTCCATGTTTTTACAACTAGTATCCACCAATTCTCCACAATGACTTTGGTGTTCAATGACTCCTGTCGATATCATATTTTAGAAGCTCAATATGACCATGAATATTGATATTTATTGATATTCTATGCCACGCATAGAATTCAATACCAGGGCACTAAATATTACCTTTCCATTACTGGCTTCCTCCTCACCAACAACCAAGATATAGTTGTATTGCGCCAACTGGGCTTCTCGTACCTGCAGGAAGCCACAATCATCAGTATACAAGCAGCAACAGTTGGATAAAAAAAACGAGCATATTAATTAAATTATTGAGAAACAAAATTCAAAAAATAAAGTACACCAGCACTAAAACAAGTTTTATGTCCGACTATAACATTATCAACTTCAATGGAAAGATGACAGAAACGAGTTCAATTATCAATCAATGGGTCGCAGTTTACTCGTGGATATGAGAAAGTCCAAGGCCTTGATTGCAACCTAACAAGCACCGATAAAGCCACTACACAATGATACGACACAATATGGACATGCCAACAAGAGAATTAAAAAAATTGAGGACATGGTACAAATAAATATACAATTTTATGTACATATGAAAATAATAATTTCTTCATTTTTCAAGTTATGATTGTATCAAAATAATAAGATATATTTCCACATTCTATATATTTGATTATATCCTAATATCTATTTAAAACAAATTGGAAGTTTTAGGATTTAGAGTTCTTAATTTTTTAAGACTATAAACAGAGAAGATTAAAAGCCGTAAATCCGTGTTGTTATAATGTTAATCATTAGCTCCATCACAATAAACACATATACTGACTCGTATCACTATATAAATGGAAATTCCCACACACCTTTACTACATCTAGGGAACAATACGTGCCTCAGTGTCCGATTCATCTAATTGTCATGTCCAAGGACACAAGGACATGGCAAGTATTTTGTATAGTCAATTGGTGTTCACAAAGGTGTCATAGAGCATTTCATGCGTAATATAAGGGTTCTAAGCATAACTTTAGAGTTAACTTGAATTACTAAATATGCTTTGCTTGGTGAATGCATAACTGCACATGTTGGACTATTAAAATTCACCTACTACACACCTACCACTACCACCTACTACACACTCACCTACTTCACCTACTCTCCACCTACTCCTCACCTACTCCATACCTACTACACACTCACCTATTCTCTTCCCACATCCTCTCTTCTATATATAGGAATCATTGTAATATATCAAGATATCAATCAATAATACATCAATTTTAACATGGTATCAGAGCTGGTTTAGAACCTAGTATTTTCGCTTCACCGACAGGCGGCAACCTCACCTTGGCCGCCTGCCGGACCTCAACCTAGTCTGCTAAAATTCTCTACACATACCTTCACTTTCCTCAGTTTTAAGTGCCAGCAGTGCTTTCCTCTTCTCTTCCAGCACCTTCTCATACTCTTCAAGTGTCATCTCCTTATCCTCAGGTTCTTTTCCTCCAGCCTCATTTGCAGTGTTCTCCTTGTTGACATCTGTTGCATCCTCCTGAGGCTTCTCAGCACCCTGATTTTTTCTCACCTTCATTGACAATTTCCTCGGTCACTTGAGCAATTTCATCAGTTGTTGTTCCCCAGTTTCTTCGACCAGCTCCTTCACATTTGAAATCACTTCCTCGTCCAGTTCCACTGTGGCGTTCAAAATCACCACCTGGTAGTCTCTGTTTTCATCCCAGGAGATGAATTGCTCGTCGGAGCAATCTTTGGATTGTTTCCTCAATCCCACATGGGATAAGTCAACGGACCAGTACGCGAACTTCGAGTCTGCCCTGAGCTCAAAGGCCTCATCTCCCGCGGCTTCCAATTCGGCAGTGTCCAACGACAGCTTCGAAATCCCTGAACTGATCGGAAAACTGGCCACTATTTGCAACTCCGGCGAGATGTCCCCGCAGTCCCCGCAGTCTCCTCCTTCCATCGTTGTCAATCTCCATTATCACCGCCCATTCTTCATCCCTCAAACACGTCTCTCCTACAGTAGTCCAGCAATGGACAAGAAAATGGAAAACCGAGAAACCAAAACCATCTCAGAAGAAGAACCCACAACGGCCCATGCCATCGCCGATTCATCACCCGCTCGATCTCCCAGTCCCAGTCCCGGTCCCAGTCCTAGTCCTCCTTGGGACCCCAAACCATCGTTGCCGTCGGCTCGATCGCCGGCCGAATCATCGGTATCGTCAGATCTGCGTCATCGGACGTCTCTCAGCCATGGATCCTCCCCTAGGGAAAACCCACCGGAAAACGTGAAATCTCCGTCGCCACAGCCGATGGTGAACAGATTTGTGAGGGAAAGCTGCGTTAGGGTTAAGAATCTGGGGATTAGTTTTCTGCTTGCTTTCGTTCGCAGTGATGGCCTCAGACAAGAATAAAGGTTGGGCTCTCGATTCCTTCTACCGATACAAAGAGGCCATACACACACCTATTTTAAGCGCCATCTATCCACACCTCATTATTACGCATCCCACTATCCTTTTTCTTTATTTTATTTTATCTTCCTTTAAAAAAAAAAAAAAAAAAAAAAAAAAAATTTCACCCATTAGAAAATATCAGTTGAATCAGACATACAAAAAAGGTTTTAACATGCAAATTCATTATTTTTATTTATTTTCTCCAAATCACTTTCCTTATTTCCCCATCTTTCATTTTGATTTCACATATATTTTTTATTATTTCTTTATTTATTTTTCTTTCACATTATTTTTTACTGTTTTTCAACTTCCATTCATACCATCTAGCTTTGCACATCAAACCATCTTTTATTCCTCTCAGGGATCAACCCCGATCACAATTTTACACAAAAAAAAAAAAAAAACTCAAAAACAAAACTCAAAAACAAAAAAACAAAAAAAACCAACAAGCCAAACCACAACACCAAAAGCTTTGTTTTCTTTTCTGCAGACGGCCACCCACCGACCTCAATTTTTCGCCTATTCCGCCGGTCTTTTCTTCTTGCCTCCATCTTGGGCGGCCCTTGACGGTATTGTCTCCGTGTTTCCCACTCCACTGGGCACGATCACTACTCCCTGCTCCTCCACTGCAGCATATGGCGGACCTCCAAATCGGAACATCACGGGTCCGACATGACCCCATAAACTGTCTTCTACAACGGTCCGACATGACCCCATAAACTGTCTTCTACAAACGGTCCGACATGACCCCATAAACTGTTTTTCTACAACGGTCCGACATGACCCCATAAACTGTTTTTCTACAACGGTCCGACATGACCCCATAAACTGTTTTTCTACAACGGTCCGACATGACCCCATAAACTGTTTTTCTACAACGGTCCGACATGACCCCATAAACTGTTTTTCTACAACGGTCCGACATGACCCCATAAACTGTTTTTCTACAACGGTCCGACATGACCCCATAAACTGTTTTTCTACAACGGTCCGACATGACCCCATAAACTGTTTTTCTACAACGGTCCGACATGACCCCATAAACTGTTTTTCTACAACGGTCCGACATGACCCCATAAACTGTTTTTCTACAACGGTCCGACATGACCCCATAAACTGTTTTTCTACAACGGTCCGACATGACCCCATAAACTGTTTTTCTACAACGGTCCGACATGACCCCATAAACTGTTTTTCTACAACGGTCCGACATGACCCCATAAACTGTTTTTCTACAACGGTCCGACATGACCCCATAAACTGTTTTTCTACAACGGTCCGACATGACCCCATAAACTGTTTTTCTACAACGGTCCGACATGACCCCATAAACTGTTTTTCTACAACGGTCCGACATGACCCCATAAACTGTTTTTCTACAACGGTCCGACATGACCCCATAAACTGTTTTTCTACAACGGTCCGACATGACCCCATAAACTGTTTTTCTACAACGGTCCGACATGACCCCATAAACTGTCTTCTACATCGGTCTGACACCGCCATCCAGTGTCCTCTACACCGTTATGACACCCCTATACAGTGTCCTCTACAACGTTATGACACCACCATCCAGTGTCTTCACCAATGGTCTGACACGACCATACAGTGTCTCCTATCCTCTTTTATTTTTATGTATTTTCTTGTTTTGTTACTCTCTCCAAACTCAAGTTGGTTAGTTCCTATCTCCCTTGAGTTTGCGGGGGCTGTTAAAATTCACCTACTACACACCTACCACTACCACCTCCTATACACTCACCTACTTCACCTACTCTCCACCTACTCCATACCTACTACACACTCACCTATTCTCTTCCCACATCCTCTCTTCTATATATAGGAATCATTGTAATATATCAAGATATCAATCAATAATACATCAATTTTAACATGGACACATCCCACATCTATACCCCAGTGTCGAGCATCCAACACAGAACTTCATACAAAGAGTCCATGGGTTAAATGTGCACTAAATAATGATGGTTCATATCCAAGTCATTTGACTAAACTATAAATCTGCTCACACACGCACACAGTACATTTAGTTTGGAATCTTAATTCAGTCATTAATTTACACAACTGCAAGGACTGGCATCAAAAGTTGTTTATATCACAACTAAAACCAGAAATGAAGAAGAGGAAATTGAGATCCTCTATTAATTTCAAACAATAATCAGAGGCTCAATGAGCACTTACGAAAGAAATGTCAAATTAAACATCCCTCTAAGACACCAAAAGAGCCCCGAAAAAAACATTTAAAAAAAATGCATGAGCAATACTGGCTTATTAGTCTTTTAAGAAAAATCCTTTTAGAACAGATCACAGCAAAAATGCAGTTTGCAGTATGATAAATTAAGGCTCAGAAAGGGAGTTGTGAATACACCTTCTTCTGGATTGTTCTGTCTGTTGTATCAACATCAACATAAAAGCCAGCTTGATGAATCATGTCCTTTACCTATTAAAATTGAACACAAGAAGACATTCAAATTCCACAACTTTTGGAATGTGCAAATGAGAGAGGAGAAGAATGCTTGTTGATACATGGTGACGACTTTCAAACCCTACAGACATCTCAGTTGTTTATAAACCAATTTTGCAATTATTTTCTGTTCGAAGGAATAAAAACATAACAGAATAAAGGCCCAACACAAAACATATCAAAAGTGTAATTTGTAAATAAGCTTGCTTTGAATTTCCAATTCTAAGAAACAAAATCCTATATCTGCTATGGTTAACCTGTAATGCATATGGTTCGGATTTCACTGACACAGGGCAAACAATTGCTTGACGTGGACTAAGCCAGAAAGGCCATTTTCCCTTGTAGTGCTCCAAAAGTATGGCAGTCATACGCTCAACAGACCCTAAGATGGCTCTGTGTATCATAACAGGTCTCTCCTTCTTAGCTTCATCTTCAGCTGAGTACGATAAGTTGAAACGAAAAGGAAGTTGGAAGTCCAGCTGTACTAACAAGTATCATCAATTAAATGATAATTATGCTTTTTTACCTAAATTAAATCATAGTTACATGACACTTAAAAAAAAATGGTAAGGTAAAAGAAAAAGTAAGGCAGCGACAAGTTCACCTGTAATGTTGCACACTGGAATTTCCTACTCAGTGCATCAGAAACACTGATATCAATCTTTGGTCCATAAAATGCACCATCACCTTCATTTATCTACGCAGAATGACTCAAAAAAGTGAATTTCAAGGCATGAAGATGAGATGAAAATGCATACAACACTGCTTAACAAACAAAGTTGCATGCAGATACCAACTAAACACTTGCAGTTCCAAACCTAAACCACTTCCACCATTTATTGACTGCACTTAAACCACACACACACACACACACACAAAAATAAAAGAGTTCCATGATAACCTGAATCTGTCTAAAGCTGATTTGGATGATAAAAAAAACCGTCATGTTTCACAACTTATCCAAACAAAAAAGAGCAAAAAAAATGCTATTACTTTATTTTTCATCTTTTGATGACAAAAGAGAAAAGCAATGACATTTGTCCAGTTTGGAAATAATAAACATGAACCCAAACACCAGAAATATTAATATATTACTATGGGGTAAAGTCATACGCCTTAGTATGAATTACATCCAAACGTGAATTGTCTAATCAACAAACTTGAACTTGTTACTTATTTTTCAAATAAATAAAATGAAATAAAAACAAAGAAAAGAAAAGGGTTAACAAGTAGCAAACAGTAGCTTGAAATAAATAAGTGTGAAACTACCTCCCATGGTTTCCCAAACTCATTCAATGCTTCTGTAAGATCAGCTTCTGCTTTTTCCCATGTTTCCAAGTCTCCAAGATATTTCTCTGGCCTCTATAACACAAAATATATGTTATACAAGATAATACAACCCTTCATATCCCACTCATGATTCATGAAGCACAACCAATGATAAAATAAAATTGAGCGACAAAATGAAATATTGTAAGAACAAAATTGCGCTCAAAGAGTGATAAAACAATAAAGGTATTCCTGAATAAAAAAAATAAAGTAAATGTTATTTTTCATATATGTTGCAAACCAAACCAAACCAAGCCTTAAGTCTCATCAAATGAGGTCGGCTACATGAATCTTTCTTCTCCACTCGACTCTATCCAAGGTCATTTCTTGTTAGTTAAATTAAGGAGTTTCATATCTCTATTTACTACACTAGTCCACGTCAATCAAAGTCTACTTTTTCCCCTAACAATACCATCTACAGTCACTTCACATCTCTTCACTACCGCCTCTGTGGTCTCCGTTGTATATGACTAAACCATCTCAATCCATTCTCTCTCAATTTATCTTCTATCGGTACTACTCTTACCCATTCTCGAATATACTCATTCCTAATTCTGTCTTTTCTAGTCTTGCCACACATCCACCTTAGCATTCTCATCTCAACAACACTTATCTTATCTATATATTGTTCCTTAGTTGCCCAACATTCTGTCACATACAACATCACTGGTCTAATAGCCATTCTATAGAACTTTCCTTATAATCTAATGAGTACTCGTTTATCGCACAATACTCCAGATGCACTCTTAGGTAACTCTTAAGTAATTATTGGTTCTCAATCTTCACTTCTCTGCTTCCATTGTGACTGTTACTAAAATTACACTCCATTTACTTTGTCTTAATTCATGTTTATCCTAAATTCTTTAGATTTAAGTGTTTTTCTCCAAATCTCCAATTTAGTGTTAACTCATTCTTTAGTCTTATCCACTAACACGATATCATCTACAAAAAAAAATACACCATGACACATCATTTTGAATATTGCGTGTCAACTCATCCATAATTAAAGCAAAAAGATAAGAACTTAAGGTTGATCCTTGGTGTAATTCTACAATAATTGAAAATTCACCCGTCTCTCCAACAAGCGATCTAATAGTGGTCACAATAACTTCATATATATCCCTAATCGCATCAATGTAACATTTTGTCACCCTTTTCTTCTCTAACACCCACCAGGTTATATCCCGAGGCACTCTATCATATGCTTTTACAAGATCGATAAAAACCATATGAATGTCTCTTTTATTTTCTCTATACTTTTCTATTACTCTCCTCAAAAGATAGACCGCTTCCATTATTGACCTACTAGGCATAATCCCAAATTAATTCTCTGACACCTCTGTTATATCTCGCAATCAACGTTCCATCACTCTCTCCCACACTTTCATTGTGTGTCACATTAACTTGATTCCTCTATAATTGTTGCAATTCTAGACATCTAATTTATTCTTATATATTAGCACTAAAATACTCTTCCTCAACTCCTCTGGCATTTTCCTAGTCAACAAAATCTTGCTAAATAACCTAGTCAATCAAACAACCCCCTTCTTACCCAAATATTTCCACACTTCAATAGATATATCATCGTGTCCTAAAACCTTATTCAATTTCATCTATTTACTACACTAGTTTACGTCAATTAAGGTCTACCCCTTCCCCTAACACTAGAACATTGAACTGCAATAACACCAACATAATGCACAGGCCCAAAAGTGAAGACTGCAATCTAACATCACATTAAAACACAATAAAAGGCAAAAACTAGGACATAAATAAATAACTAGAACCCACAAACTCTATATTGCAGGAGCCAAACTTAAGATCGCATCTAACCATGTTTGGTTTCAGCTTGAATTTTAACTATATGTTTTCGTCTACCACTGCTTGTATAATTTCATATATGTTTTATTAGGTTTTACTAGTCTAGGATGGACTTGGGCTGTAATATAGGTCCATGGGGCTTATTTTGGGTAAACTTCCTTTATTGGCTCATTGTACGCAATTTTTGAACCCCTAAAAAAAAAAAAATCATATTTCAAATTTTTAATTATTTTTTTGAAGTATTTTGAAGCCCTAAATACAATAGAAGTAGAAGAAGACACCATTCTATCTGATGAATTGCATATATGCAAATTATCACCCAAACCATTGATATATGGTTTTCCGTGTGTTTTAAGTTCAATGGGTCATGCAAGGGACAGTGAAGGAGGTGATTACATCATGGAGAAGAGGATGTCCTATGGGCCGCTACGAAAAAGCTTTTGAGGTTGCCTCATTATGTTTGATTTTAGTGTCTGTGGAATGACAGGAATAAGAAATCTTTCCAAGAGATTGCTTGGTTCTATGTCTGATGGGTATTGTGCTTGTCTCCACATGTTTGTTGGCTTACGGAGATTTTCCCTCATTCTTTATCTTCTTTTGTGGACTTTTTGGGGGAGTTATATATCCACGTGTATAATTTTTGTTTTTGTTGTACACTTAATGTGCGTAAGTTTACGGCGTCTGACCTACACAAACACATCCAAGCACAATGTTGGCTCCTAACAATGAAATCATTACAATTAGTTATCAAAACAAATAAAATCGAAATAACCAATTGTACATTTTTTTTTATTTTTTTACACATAAATACAATGAAAGTAGCAGACACCAGCCGAAACTCTTTCTATCTTAGTCATTACATGCATGCAAAGCACAACCCAAGCTGTTGACAGATTGAAAATCACCATTAGCATACATTTTTTATTTTATAAATAGCACATCAGTATGTTACATATTGCTCAAATCAATTAGACTATTTGCATTAATGCAAAATGAACACCATAATGTCATACCGTCGATAGCTTCAGGTCATAAGTGAACCCAAATATCTCATAGGTGTAATTGATAAATTCTAACGCACTCCTGACTTCATCTTTTATCTGAAAAATTTTATAAAAAAAAAAAATAGTTATGTGAGGCATTCAAAACATATAGAGTCAACAGGTCTTATCTATATGTCACCAAGTTTAACTAACCTGGGACTCTCTGCAGAAGATATGAGCATCGTCCTGCAAAAGGTTGCAGTATTAGAAAGAAAGAGGCTTCCACCAGCCATGGAATATTATTCAAGAGGTAGGAAAAAGATTGTCTTTTTCTTTTTCTTCTTTACTAATGCATTCCATTACTGGACCAGCTAGTTCCAAAATTTATCAGGCCTTGCTCAACTGTAAGCAATTGAGGTACAAGGAACCAACTATCTTGAGATGCTAATGCTAGCACAATGGATGAGATTAGCACCAAAGAACAGCTACTGTTTCACTAGGACAAGTTTTAAAAAGACATAGAGATCTCAAAATATCAGAGCAAAAACCACTACCAACGTGACACAACCCCAAAATAAGATTTTTGATGAACAACAACAACAAAGCTACCTGCTGAAATCTCCTGACACGAGTTAACCCACTAAGTGCACCACTGGCCTCATTCCGATGCAAGACTCCAAAATCAGCCATGCGAAGAGGAAGTTCTGGATAATCATATGAAAAAATCAGGATACAGATGCCACAAATCGGACAGAGGAAACAACAGGATGATAATTTGCAGCAAAGGTAAGCGATGAGAAGGAATGTAAATTTTTCAGTGTTAAAAGCTAAATAAACACACAAAAGCCATCTAAAACTTCACATATCACTGTCAATTGGTAGGGTAACATTCAAACGAATAAAATAAAAATCCCAATCTGATCCATGCAGAATAAATTCAAAATAGGTGTAAACAATGAAATGAAAAAAATATATATTTATTATGCATTGTTCAAGTCTTTGTCACTGAAATGAACTAATTCTAATCATCATCATTAAAGTAAATGGACTAGCCACCCATCAATCTAATCCTTTTGCCTTTCTAACGACTTGCAAGTCCCCTTAGCAACAAGAAGTCCAAAATAATCAAACGCTCTCAGAAGCTCCATGGTGCTTGCCACATAATTCATCTGGCTTCCTTATCCGACAAAAGCAGAAACAATGTAGGAGGCTACCCACAAATCCCACACTAAGACCACTGTAAGTATACACCATTCTCAATTAACCCATTGCTAAAATACTCCTACCTCCAACAAATCATTCTCTCATACCAGTTTGCCCACTAGACCTCTGATAAGGAAAGACACCAGTTCCTTGCAAGAGGGAGGGTTCACTCAAAATAATCCCCCACCTAACACTGATGCAGAGAACTGTTAGCTTCTTCTCACCAAATTTAAACACTAGCTGCTTCCAAGAAAGAATTTGCAGCTCCCCTGCCTTTCCCGATCAAACACCAAGTCCGCCAAAGCCCCATCCACCCCCCCTTGGGTCGCAAGGAATCAAAGCCACCTCCTCCACACCATCAAGTTCATTTTAATTTCAATATTCGTCAAGTAGCCCAATAAAGTCAAGATGGAGCACAATTTTGCCCAATAAAATCATAGGAACTACAGCAGGCATAGAAATGCAATATAAGAAATATAAAAATTGAAACTAACCCACCCCTATATGAACGAACTCTATGATCAAATATTAAACAATGTCCCGGGCAATTCATTGGCTTAAGTCCAAACTCTTGCTTTTCAATCTGTAACATAAACCAGAAATATTAGATCATAGGAAACATGGTTAACAGACCTATGCATATACCCACTAAGATAAGAAAACCCAAAATATGAAGAAACCTAAATTACTCTACATCTAAAGTGATATTATAATCAAGGATTTAATTGCCCATTAGATTACAAAACACAAATCAAAATAATCCATCCACTTTTACAAAGGCAAGAACCACAAAAAAGTAAACATACTTATATGCATATATATGTGTGGGTGGGTGGGTGGGCCATGTCCTTAATCCCCTTGCTCAGGCAGAACTTCATATGTATATGTGCACTTTTTGACTTTTCTTGTATTATGTGTAAAAAAAGTAGAGAGGAGATGTTGATTGATGTGACCCAAAAAAGATAAAAAGATGAAATAAGTGCACTTTTTTAGTTTAGCCAAACTTGGCCTAAATTAGATATAATAAGGGATTGTTTGAGATGATCTAAATAAGTGCACTTTTTTACTTTTTATAAAATATGGGTTGGGTTTGAGTTGAGTTTGAAGTGATGTGTTAGAGAGGTGATGTGGCTTAAATAAGATGATGTGACTTAAATAGGATAGTAACTTTTTGACTTTTTTCAAACAAGTCAAACCGAGCCTTAAAAAAGGTCACAAAATGTAAGTAAGAGATAAGCACCAACAAATCACTCAAATACCAATGAACTCATTTTAAGGATAAATGAAAAGCAAATCACCTCCAGTAAAAACATGTTCTCCCTGTAATTTGCAGCATGCCCAGATGTTTCCCAAAGTTGCATGTTAAAGATATTTGGTGTCACAACCTGCAAAAATCAAGCACTATTTTATATATCATATGCAGTTATATGACGTCATTGCAATAAACCAATGAGCATAAACTATTCACCTCTTGGTATCCTCTATCCCAGTATTGATTTCGTATAAATTCCATCAACTTGTTGTAAATTCGAGCACCATGCGGAAGGAAGACACAACTTCCGGGGCTGAAATACGCACAAGATGCATTATGTGGGAACCAAGCATAATCTTGACCACATAAACGTAAATATTAACTAGAAATTGTACCTTAGTGGGTGAAAAAAGAAAAGCTCCTGATTCTTCCCTAACTCTCTATGATCATATTTCTTTGCCTCTTCTAGCCTTGTGATATATTCCTGCAACAAAGATTATCTTATAGATAAAAATACTATCATTTGAAACCAATGACCACATATTATTGCATTAGCATAACTTTTGATAACAAACCCTTTATAATTCAATTTCACCAACAATCCACGTTTACCATGAATTGCCAATTTAACATCAGGAAGCTAACCTCCAAGTGGGTTCTCTCCTTAAATATTTCATTAAACCAAGCCTCAACAAAAAATTTAATGAGATAAACCAAGACTTCCAACCTCCTAGCAGAGGGAGGCAGCGGCGACAGGACAAGGGGGTGTTGGGGTAAGCAGAAGGTATTGGCCACAGGGCATGGGAAAGGGGACGGAGGTGTCGGTGAGCTATGACAAGCAGAGGCAGGCGCAGCAGGGTTGGGGGGCAGAGAGAGGAATGGGGGAGGGGGAGGAGGAGATCAGGATGATAATGTCTTGACTGTCTAAAAACCCCCAGCTGGTTTTATTTATTTGTTTCATATTTGGTGTATAAAAACTGGTTGGAAGTGGCTGATTGGTGGAGGGGTTGAAGCGGTGGAGGGTGGTAATGGTGGTGGCTGGTTTTGGTGGATATGGTGGTGGAGGCACTAGAGCAGTGGGTACAGCAGTGGCTGGTTGGAGAAGATGGTTTTGGCTGGTTTTAGTGGAGGTGGTGGCCAGTGGTTGTGTTGGCAGAGAAAATGGTTGTTGTGGTGAATTTACCATATTGCCCCCAAAAAAACAAGCCACATGGGGTGCACATGGTCCTTTTCATCCAATTTCTAAATGCTTGTTGTCAATTGGATCAAATTGGAAAAGAAAAAAAAAACAAAACCAAAAAAAAAAAAGAATTCACTGCCAAATCGAGTAAATTGAAACTATATGGACCGAATTGATACAAAGGACATAATATAGGGATCACTAGTGTAATTTTTCATATATACTATATATATATATATATTAAGCAAAGAAGTTGATCATACACAAAAATAAACCACATTTAGAAGAAAATCATTAAAAAAAAAAAAGGATATCACCTTCAAGCGTTTGTTATCAGGATAAGATATCCCATAAACTCTTTGCAAACTTTCACGATCTTTATTTCCCCTCCAATAAGCTGAAGAAGCCTGAAGATAAAAAGCATAAGTAACAAGGACACAAATAACATGTAAAATAACAAAATACAAACCTTTAAACAAGCAATTGCTTTTACAAAAGATGTATTTGGTATATGTGGTCCACGACATAGATCAACCAAAGGGCCGCATCTGTATACTGTGATAGTTTTGTCTTCAGGTAATTCTTTAATGATTTCGATCTGATTTAGACAATAGAAACAGCATAATTATAAGATACAATGCCAAAAGTTAAAATAAACCAGAGCAATTAATGGATCAAATTTTTGGGTGATATAAATTTACCTTAAAATTATTTTCAGAAAACATCTCAAGAGCCTGCTCCCTTGTAACTTCAATGCGCTCAAAAGGCTGCTTTTCCTGAGATAGAAAGGATTTAAGGTAATATATGCTCATGGCAAGGCAACCTCTGCAATACATTTAAGCACATAACATAAATTACAAATTAAGCCCAAGTGCATATAGTATCTATCTAATATTACATGCAATATAAGATAATTAAATCAAACCCGCATGTGTGTATCTAAAGTGTAATAAAGTGATCTAGCTTGCACTTGCATACGAGGGGGTTAACAGAGACTGGTACACCTGTATGAACCCAAAAGCATGTGGTTTACAATAAATGCTGCTGAAATAACTACCAAGGATTAATCAAAATCAAATCTATGGTCATAACTATATAATACATAAAAGGCAACCATTTTTTCACTTATGGAATAAAAATTTAGCCGTGTTGTAATTTCAAATCTCAAATTTATCATTGGATAATTTAAAAGTATAAGAATAATAGCAACCAAAAGAATAGTGTATATTAACAAGCCTAAAATAAAAAACAAGTCCAACTTTAAGCTAGGAAAACAGATAAAACAAGTAAATAAACAATACCCCAACAGCTTTTGATGCCCCTGAATCAATCCGTTTAAAGTGGTCCTCATTTAACCCCAGTTCACCATAAAAGGCATCATAATAGAAACCCTGAAAGAGCAATTAACCATTTCATGAGAACCTGGAAACATTTGCAATTATAGCAAAGGTCAAACACGGACAATGCAAATGGTAAACCAAATGAAAATAAAAAATTATTAACAATACTAACGTTAAATTGTAACAATATAATACTGCCCAATACATTGATGTAAAACTAGCTTTCCTTTATATAAATGGATAAATGAAAAAACAAGTTTAAAAAAACCATAATCCCTTGCCCAGTTGTTCTCTCTGCCAAGCGCATCATGCAATGTCCACAATACAACTTGCTACTATGAATAGCTAGCACAATTGTTTGTGAAGCAAAACCAAAAAAAAAGGGGGTAGCCCAGTGCACGAGGCTCCCTCTAATGGAGGATCTGGGACGGAAAAATGTACGCAATCTTACTCCTATTATTGGAGAGTGTTTCCATGATAACACGTAAAAATTAAAAACAAAAAGAGTAAAACCAGCAACATGAGGTCCCAAGCTTCAGAGTGATGGTGATCAAGTACGGATCTTGAAATCCAAATAAGAGCTTCAGATATCAACTAAGGAGCACTGATCATTGGCTCACAAGAAATATAAAAGTTGGTATGAGGCACTAAAAGCTAACCGTTCCAAACACCTTAGTAAAAGAATTTGCTAAGGAATGGAAAAGGGGCGAATAAATAATAGAAAACATAAGAATAGTACTCCATAATCAAAAACATTAACAAAACATATGAATAGTCATTAATATGATCTGGGGAGGACCATTTAACTCCCAATATAAACGTAAATTTGTAATTGCACTTAGTTAATTCATATGTAATGAGAATAATTGCAGAATATAATTTACCTCCCCTCTTGTAGTGCAAGGCCCAATGCACAACTTGCACCCATATTCCATCTCAAGAGCCTGCAAAAATTAAAAAATTTGCAAGAAGACCCAAAAACCAATTCAACCCATATTCAAATTCCCCTGTAAACTACATTGAAATGCATCAAGAAAGACAAAACTTATACCTGCCCGAGAATATGAGCACTAGAATGCCAGAAGGTGTCGCGACCCTCATCGCTCTCAAATGTGAATAATTTGAGCTCACAATCACATTCAAGCGGCCTTGACATGTCCCAGAGCACACCATTAACCTTGGAAATCAACGCATTCGATGCCAAACTCTTTGAAATCTCTTTAGCAATATCGAATGGAGTTGAAACCCATTTTTTCCCTTCCTTCACACTCCCATCCGGCAAAGTTATCCTTACAACAACATATATTCAAATCAATACTCGATGCATCTATACTCTCTCTATACTTTTATATAAGCACAACACTCAAAACAAATTTGAAGCTTTTTTGTAACTTTTTAAAAAAAATGCTCAAATTGTTAACTGCTAACCGTATTCAAATTCAACATCTTCCTCATTTATCAAATACCCATCTTCCCCATTCATCAAATTCATCAAATTGTCAAAGTAAAAATGAATACTTGAGGAGTGTGAAGATGGATTACTTGATGGGATCGCCGGAAATCGATTGAAGATGAGCTAGTTGTTGGGCTTTGATGGATTCGAAGGCTGCGATACGCTTGGGGATGACAGTTTCAAGATAAGCTTCGTCCTTGGGGTGGGCCGGGCTGGACTCCGGCTGAGCATTCGGCTTTTTCCCCATCTCTGGCGGCGGTGGTGAAGAGAAGCGGCGGAGCAAGGTCTTACACGGCTGAGCACGGCAGCGAGGAATTGACAATCTCCGCCACAATTGCGAACATAGCATCCGTCTTTGGGTTCTTAAAAGTTGCTAAAGGGTTTTAGGGTTTTTATATTTTATATTTTAAATCATAATTCATTTCTACTGGTTTATTTTTAATTTTTTTAATGGTAAATTACAATTTAATATTTTAATTTAACAAATTTCACTTTTAATATTTGTTATTTTATTCTACATGTATATTAAGAGATTGATAAATATTTTAAAATTACCAGTTTTAAATTTTAATTTCAACGGTATAATTGAATTAAAATCAAATTTAAATGTAAAAATTAACTCATAAATTTATCCATAAAAATAAAAGATAAGAATAACTTCAAAATAAGACATATCAGTAATTTATTTAAAAGTGAAAATTATTATTATTTTTATTATATTTTTTTGCGTGGGAAGCAAGCGATGGGCCTAGGGTTTGATTTGAGAGAGATTGGGATTATGATTCTATGGACCCTTTTTTAGAAAGGTATTGGGCTGGCTGAGAGTCATTATGGGCCTTGTGATTGTGCCCTGATAAGATTCAGCATCTAGTTTCAAGATTTGTACATTTTACTCATAATCCATCCCAAGCTCACATCAAGCTCAACCCAAAAAAATTGGGTCAACTGATCGTTCTTTCATTTTGAAAAAAACATAATAAATCGTACAAATTGAATATAATTGTATTAAAATTTTAATTTATATAACACTTAAATATTTTTATTTTATTTATGCGACACTTTTTTATAAATTCCTTTTCATCTATTTATATTCCATTTAGTCCACATTATTTTCTTATATTCTAATAAGTTTTATGAATGATATAGTTACCAAAATACTCCTAATAATATTCACATTTACAATGTGAATGCTCCGTGATGTAAATGTTCACACCGTCAATGTGAATATTCACATCGCCAATGTAAATGTTCATACCATTGATGTAAATGTTAACATATCAATGTGAATGTTCACACTATCAATGTGAACATTCGCACGTCAATATAAATATTTACATTGTAAAATATAAATGTTCATATTACTAAATTGTTAACCGTTCAAAAAAAAAATTTGTACGGGTGTAAATATTTATAAAATACTTTAAATACAAGAATTATGGTTTGGTAGATCAAATGTTCAAATAATAAGGCTTATTAAAATACAATAATATCTTATGAATTAATTGAGATACAAACACTTGAAAAATGATTTTCTAATAAATCACCCTTCATTTATCTTTGTGTCATTATACTTTTTGCATTAACAACTTCTAATCCATTTAGTTATATTAAAAGGAGATCAACCTGATTATATTAAAATTATCAATTCTGCTATGTAGCCTGAAACGCATTTGGCCCGAATGGCTCAACTATCTAAAATGACATCGTTTTGGGTGAGTTTTTTTTTCCCCTCTCGCTTCCCTCCTGTTTTTTTCTCTGAAACAGACAACAAAAGAAGGAGAGAAGGAATGCAAAATTGTTTTGGTGAGAAGGAATGTGAAATTGTTTTGGTATTTATTTTCTCTCTTTGATTGTTTGAACTATTAGTTATTGATTGAATAAACTTGTAATTTCAACTTCTATGTTTGTTCTTTCTCACAAATTCACCACTCATTGTAGTAAACAAAAAAAAAAAATATCAGCGACAATGTTCATCAATGCACACCCAAATAGTGGAAATTCAACAGAAACTCCAAAACCCCTAAACTACCAAACCCTAACACATCAAAAACCCTATCAAACTCAACCCAAATAACTCAGATCTAAACTCACCTCTTTACTTTCCAAATAACTCCGTCGTCTAGTGACTTACCTTCGTCGGTGTCGTTGTTGTCATCGTTAGAGTCCTCGTTGGTTTCGAAGGTCTCACCATGGATTCTGTAACGGCCCAAAACGCATGTCACAATTATCCTTAATTAATTATATGATAATATGAATTAATTGGAGAATATTTGTTTGAATTGGAAAAAATATTTGTCGGGACTACAACTTCGGGACTGAAATTGACGACCATAATGGGTTCGGAAAACGAAATTGAACACGCCTATATGTTACTGGGAATTTTTAGATCCATTTGGGAAATTTAATTGAGAACTGATTTTCGTCTGATTCGCTAAGCCATGTTTGGCTCGAGTTTTTGGCACAATTATATATATGATGTATAGATAAAGATAAGGACCCTTGTTTGACTCAACAAAAGTGGAAAATATCTGAGAAAGAGAGAGAGAGGTCGTGAGAAAGAGGGAACAAAAGGAAAGCAGAGGAAAGAAAGGGGAATCAAGCCTAAACTTCTCCAATTAATTAATTAAGGTAAGAATCTCTTTCTAATTTCTTGAAATAAGGTTGATTCACCTACGATCTTATGGTAAGTAAATGGAATGAAGAGGAAATTATGTATAATTGATAGTATTGTGTTGTATTTAACCTAGGATGCATTTTTGAGCATACATGGCATATTATTATGATTCGTGTTTATACTTGTCATATTTGGGGAGGAAACTCCATGGACTTGAGAAATGATGCGTTTGGGTTTTGTTTAGACATTTTGATGTTTAAGTTGAGTTGTTTTCAAGTGTTTGGATCTTGTTTTCATAAATTTGTGTTGTTTTTGCAAAGGAGGAAGACACACGGATTAGCAGAAAATGGGACTGGTTTTTCACCCAGACCACTCGAGCGGCTAGGGCCACCGCTCGAGCTGCCAAACAGTGTTTTGGCTACTGCAGTTCCACCGCTCGTGCGACCTAGGCCACCGCACGAACGGCCAAGCCACTGCACGTGCGACCTGGGCCACCGTACGTGCGGCCAAACAGTGCACATTTTCTAATTTGTTTTTGTCTCATTTTCTGACTTTCGGGCCTTCATTTACTTGATTTTTGCATGTCATTTGCATCCATTAACATCTCATAAGCATGAAACAAAGTAAAGAAAGAATAGAATGGCATTAACTAATTGATTCGATAGCAAAATGTGTTAAGGAATTGTGTTATAATGTTGGTATTTGTAGGTCAAAACTCGAAAACCGCACAACCGGTTTTGGCAACCCACTGTGAGTAACATTTCTGTAAAGTTATGTTGATAAAAATTATGTTTTAACTGTTATTGATACGCTATGTTTTCTCAAAATGCTATCTTGATTCTGTGAACGAATATCCTGTTTGCGAAACTAGTATGCATCCACGGATAGTCCTAAGTCATGGGGGACGGCACATTTGCGCGGGTCCATGACATATATGTGATACGAGATCTCGTTAGCCACTTCATTGTGGTGATATGTGTTAATCGGTAATTGGAACCGATTCTCTAGTCGGAAGACGATATGCGTTGTATCCTGTGAGATATACCATTATGCTATGTTCTGATATGAATAGTTATGACATGATTTATTTTACGGATATGTTATATGTGGAATTCGTTCACTCCCCATTTACTTTAATGTTATTCACTGGGCTTTAGCTCACTGTTTGTATATATATGTATTATAGGTGAGCGTTCTGAGAGTCAAGCCTAGGCAGAGTCTTAAACCGAGCCGCCGTTTTGGAAGCCTACTAGGTGTTTTGTGTGCCTCAGAACTGGGGCTAGGCCTAGAAGGCCGTCTGCAAGCTTTGTTTTTGTTGTACACTTGTGGCACGTGCCTTTGTTTTGTGTTTGTTATTTCGTTATATGTTATGTAATGTAAGTGGGTAAATTAACATTTTTGGCATGTAAATATTTGTTCATACATATGCACAGCTCTTTAGACTTATGGCATTTTGTCTTTGCTTCCACTAGCCCTGATTATTTACATTTTGTATAGGAAAGCCTGTGGTAATCTTGGATTACTGATCGGTTACGATGCCAAACTTTTAGGGCCGGGTTTGGGTCGTGACATAATAGTATCAGAGCACGAGTTAATTTACCCACACACGTGTCCATATGAGCTGTAGGGTGTCTTAGAAAAGAAATAGGGCATGCATAAACATGTGTGCATATGTGTGTGTGTTTTTGAAATATAAGAAACAAGAACTGTAAATGATGAGACAATAGAGGAAACACTATGTTGAGAATAAAATACTCTATCTGCTATGGGTTCTATAGACTAATGGAGACCACCAATGCAAGGATTGTAGATGAGTCAGAATCTTCTAATGCCAGAATAGATCGGTTAGAAAGAATGGTGAAAGCTTTAACTGGGTTGGTGAGACAACAACAAGAGCAAAACCAACAACAATAGAGACAACCATTTCCGCCTCCTCTTCCGCCACCTGTTCAAATGGAACCGATCAATAATGATGACATTATCACTCTTCCATAGAAATACAAGAAACTGAAACCACCAAAATTCGCAGGGGGTATTGAACCATTAAAAGCGGAGGCATGGGTACTTGAAACTGAAAAGATCTTTGAAGTGTTTCCGTGCACTGACGCGTATAAAGTTCTGTTAGCAACATTTACTCTGAAATAAGAAGCTAGAAGATGGTGGATGCTCGTTCGAGATGAGAATAGGGACTTGACATGGGATCGATTCAAAGAAATGTTTTATGAAAAATACTTCCCACAATGCCTTCGAGATAGGAAGGTATCTGAATTTGAACAGTTGAAGCAAGGTACAATATCAGTAGCGGAGTATGAAGCTAAATTTATTGAATTAGCCCGATATACTCCTCATATGGTTGATACAGACTACAAAAAAACAAGAAAATTTGAGTGTGGCTTACACGTCGAAGTGCTTGACCAGGTGAATGTTTTGAAATTGGTAAAGTATGTTGATGTACTTGACAGGGCCTTGATGTCTGAAGCAAATATTGCTACCTTGAAAATGTCCAAGTCAACAATAATGACTGAAGGAGAAAGTAAGAGATTCAAGAAACAGAAAGTGGAAATGGTTAGTGAATCAATGACCTCCGTGAATGAGAATTTGAACTCAAGTATTGGTGATAATACAAAGAGGGAAAGTAGTGGAAGTGTTGGTATACCCACTTGTAGGGAATGTGGGAAGCAGCATTGGGGCATTTGCCGCATCTGGAGCTTGTTTCAAATGTGGACAGAAAGGACACTTGGCCAAATCTTGTCCACAAGCCTATCCAAGCAATGAGAGACCTGTTACTAGTGAGGTTAAATCAACAATGACACCGAGAACAACCACAACATCTACTCCCAAGGGGAACACCTTGAGGCAAGGAAGGGTTTACACCCTAGTTTCAGAAAAGACACAGAATATTGGAACAGCGAATGCAGGTATGATTTTACTATCTATTGTTATGTTAGCAATGTTACCTATGCGATAGAGAATATTGAACACGTGACTGTGACGGAACAAATTTACCTTTGTTATTACCTTTGCTATTAATTGTTTAAGGAATGGTTATATCTATGTTACTCCCTTTGAATTGAACGCTATGAAACTTGTTAACAGTAGACTTCGGGTTGAAACCTCAACTACTAGGCGATATATTACCTGTATACATTTTTTGATTGACTACTTACGTGACTTTACAATGGATTTTGGGGAGAAGTGCAAGATATGTTTATTATGTGTTTGACTGCTATCATGCTGAATAACTGAATAGAACCGCCGAGTTAGCCTCTTTGTATGATGATACTTCTGGGTAACTATGGTGAATTGTGAATTGTTGAATGGTTGCGGAATGAATGAAACATCTATGGCGGAAGGATTAATAACATGCGACCAAGATTTCTGATTTAGATTGTGCCAGGATAAGCTAAGTTTGGAGGACCAAACTTCCTAAGGTAGGGAGAATGTAACGGCCCAAAACGCATGTCACAATTATCCTTAATTAATTATGCGATAATATGAATTAATTGGAGAATATTTGTTTGAATTGGAAAAAATATTTGTCGGGACTACAACTTTGGGACTGAAATTGACGACCATAATGGGTTCAGAAAACGAAATTGAACACGCCTATATGTTACTAGGAATTTTTAGATCCATTTGGGAAATTTAATTGAGAACTGATTTTCGTCTGATTCGCTAAGCCATGTTTGGCTCAAGTTTTTGGCACAATTATATATATGATGTATAGATAAAGATAAGGACCCTTGTTTGACTCAACAAAAGTGGAAAATATCTGGGAAAGAGAGAGAGAGGTCGTGAGAAAGGGGGAACAACAGGGAAGAAGAGGAAAGAAAGGGGAATTAAGCCTAAACTTCTCCAATTAATTAATTAAGGTAAGAATCTCTTTCTAATTTCTTGAAAAAAGGTTGATTCACCCATGATCTTATGGTAAGTAAATAGAATGAAGAGGAAATTATGTATAATTGATAGTATTGTGTTGTATTTAACCTAGGATGCATTTTTGAGCATACATGGCATATTATTATGATAGTGGAAAATATCTGGGAAAGAGAGAGAGAGGTCGTGAGAAAGGGGGAACAACAGGGAAGAAGAGGAAAGAAAGGGGAATTAAGCCTAAACTTCTCCAATTAATTAATTAAGGTAAGAATCTCTTTCTAATTTCTTGAAATAAGGTTGATTCACCTACGATCTTATGGTAAGTAAATGGAATGAAGAGGAAATTATGTATAATTGATAGTATTGTGTTGTATTTAACCTAGGATGCATTTTTGAGCATACATGACATATTATTATGATTAATGTTTATACTTGTCATATTTGGGGAGGAAACTCCATGGACTTGAGAAATGATGCATTTAGGTTTTGTTTAGAAGTTTTGATGTTTAAGTTGAGTTGTTTTCAAGTGCTTGGGCCTTGTTTTCATAAATTTGGTGTTGTTTTTGCAAAGGAGGGAGACCCACAGATTAGCAGAAAATGGGGCTGGTTTTTTACCCAGACCGCTCGAGCGGCCAAACAGTGTTTTGGCTACTGCAGTTCCGCCGCTCGTGCGGCCTGAGCCACCGCATGAGCGGCCAAGCCACTGCACGTGCGGCCTGGGCCATCGTACATGCGGTCAAACAGTGCACATTTTCTAATTTGTTTTTGTCTCATTTTCTGACTTCCGGGCCTTCATTTACTTGATTTTCGCATGTCATTTGCATCCATTAGCATCTCGTAAGCATGAAACAAAGTAAAGAAAGAATCGAATGGCATTAACTAATTGATTCGATGGCAAAATGTGTTAAGGAATTGTGTTATAATGTTGGTATTTGTAGGTCAAAACTCGAAGACCGCACAACCAGTTTTGGCAACCCACTGTGAGTAACATTTCCATAAAGTTATGTTGATAAAAATTATGCTTTAACTGTTATTGATACGCTATGTTTTCTCAAAGTGCTATCTTGATTCTGTGAACGAATATCCTGTTTGCGAAACTAGTATGCATCCACGGATAGTCCCAAGTCATAGGGGACGACACATTTGTGCGGGTTCATGATATATATGTGATACGAGATCTCGTTAGCCACTTCATTGTGGTGATATGTGTTAATCGGTAACTCGAACCGATTCTCTAGTCGAAAGACGATATGCGTTGTATCCTGTGAGATGTACCATTATGCCATGTTCTGATATGAATGGTTATGACATGACTTATTTTACGGATGTGTTATATGTGGAATTCGTTCACTCCCCCTTTACTTTAATGTTATTCACTAGGTTTTAGCTCACTGTTTGTATATATATGTATTATAGGTGAGCGTTTTGAGAGTCAAGCCTAGGCAGAGTCTTGAACCGAGCCGCCGTTTTGGAAGCCTACCAGGTGTTTTGTGTGCCTCCGAGCTGGGGTTAGGCCTAGAAGGACGTCTGCAAGCTTTGTTTTTGTTGTACACTTGTGGCACGTGCCTTTGTTTTGTGTTTGTTATTTCGTTATATGTTATGTAATGTAAGTGGGTAAATTAACATTTTTTACATGTAAATATTTGTTCATACATATGCACAGCTCTTTGGACTTATGGCATTTTGTCTTTGCTTCCGCTAGCCCCGATTATTTACGTTTTGTACAGGAAGGCCTGTGGTAATCTTGGATTACTGGCTGGTTACGATGCCAAACTTTTAGGGGCGGGTTTGGGTCATGACAGATTCGAAGCTTAAGGATTTCATATACACATATAGATCTGTGTATACACAGATCTTCTCTCCCTCTTCTCTCTTCGTCCTCTCTCTTCTCTCTTTCTTCTCTCTCCCTCCCTTTGTTCTCATTCTTCTTCTTCTTCTTGTTCTTCTTCTTCTTCTGACTGTTTCAAAGAGAAAAATAAGAGAAAGAGAAGAAAAAAAAAAAAACTACCCAAAATGGCGTCATTTTGGATAGTTGAGCCCTTCGGGCCAATATATTTTTTTCAAATCTCAATCATTTGACAGGAAGAATGTTTTAGGTGGCATATGATAACATTCTCAATTTTTTTTATCTATTTATTTTACATGTAAAAAATATAAAATATTTTTTTTTCAAGTAACAAAAACAAAATACATTTAATACCCATATAATTTCCAAATATATAAAAAAAATTATACAAAATTTATATAAAACATAATGTGTCAATGATTTACTGAAATTACAAGACCAATGGTGATAGTTTTAATTGAAAATTAAAAATTTACAATCAAACCAAAAAAAAAAAACCCACATCATTTTATATAATTATATATAAATTTTTTATTTATAAATTCATATAGGGCCATGCTAATAAATGCCCTCGCGGCATTAGTTAAAAAATAATTAATAATATTTTATTACATTTAATGAGTCTTAGAATCTATTAAATATTAAATAATCACTATTTTTATGCATGAAAATGTAAAATAGTAATTACAAAGTAGTTGTATTCAAATTCAAAATTACTAAAAAATAATGCTATATGTACTAATTAGTGTACAAACTAGTATATCAATTAGTGATGTGGTATAATTTAAGAGGTTTTTAGTATTTGTAATTTATATAATGAGTGAGGTCAATAATAATGTCATAATTAGTATTGATACACTAATTAATACATGTAACATCATTGATTAGTAAAACATATCATAATAAATACATTTGATTTATTGAGTTACTAAAATTAGAAAATTAATAATTTAATGAAAAGTTAAAATTAAACAAATTTCAAAATTAGGACAATTTAACATTACATTGCACCTCGACTAACGTATCAAGGCACTTATGATCATCTTTAATTTAAGTCTCGTTTGGTAAATAATTTTTTTAGTAAAAAAGTCACTAAAAAAATTAAAAAACTAACAATTCATATCAAAAAGTCAAAAATTTTCTTTTTTCTTTATTTTTTGCACATTTTCTGTAAAAAGTCAAAAAGTCATCTCAAACATACTAATTTTTTTAAGCTCATATTTTAGCAAAATAGTCAAAAATTTACTAAATTAGTCTGTTCCCAAATGAGGCCTAGTGTCAGATGTTTCATCAAATTTTGATAAAAAGTATCTCATTTTGACGCTCCAACCCTTTCACTATATTCGTATAAAGTGGAAAGAAAATCAAAACTTTCATCAAATAAAGCGAGTCTTTCATCTTTCATCTTTTATCAAATTTAGGGTTGGTTTGGGATGTTTTAAAAAAGTGCACTTTTTGACTTATTGACTTATATGAGTTGAGTTTGGGTTGGGTTTGATGTGATGTGATGTGTTAGAGAGGTGATGTGATTTAAATAAGATGGTGTGACTTAAATAAGATAGTGATTTTTTAACTTTTTGTATTATTTAATGTACCCCAAACCAAGCCTTAATTATTGTCGTTAAGTCAAATATCCTCTTGGATGTTCACTGGATATTTATTCAAGTCCAACTTTGATAGTTTTTTTATTCATGTCCGACAACTTGTAAGATATCTGCTCGGGCATCCTCTTGGACAACTAAAGATGTGAAAAAAATTGATAAAATTTTTAATTTTAACATTAAAATGAACTATATCAAATCAATTTTTTACAAATTTTAATTTAAATATAATAAATTTTTTTATTCAACCTTGGATGGTCTCATAGACCATAACTCAAAACAAAAACATGTAAAACAAGTTAAATCACCTTTTCTTCTTTCTTTCAAATTTTTTTATAAAAGGTGTGTATGTTTTCAATTTTCAAAATGTTACCAGACGGTCCTTAGAATGTCAAATGAAAGCTACTAGCCTTCTTTTTTTGGGTGAATAAAAGCTACTAGCCTCAAGTCCTCAGATTGGCACCAGAGAGAGAGAGAGAGAGAGAGACCCAGACTTCAAACAGTAGAAAATGGGTTCCATTTTTTTGTAGCAGATTCTCAAGGACTCACTGAGCAAGGTAAGCTCCGCCCTTGACATTACCAGTAGTCTTTAAGGGTTTTTTGTCAAACCAAAGTAAAAAGATTGTCTTTTTTTGCACCAAATCTCTTTTCAAAGCAATGGGATTATCCCAAATCTGGGTCACTTGTTAATTTGTCTTCGTAGTCATTTGTTTATCTCAATTAGGTTTCTTCTAAATGCAAGCAAAAAGGCCTTTTGCTTGTTCTCTTCAAATTGTGAGTTGGGTTTAACCTCATTTCAAGAAAGACAATGATGGCTCTATATGATTCCTGAAATTTGAGCAAACTCATGGTTTCCTAGCATGCCTATCTTGCTAAAATGCCTTTGATTCAACCTCACATCAAGCAAAGAGATGGTCTTTTGACCCTTTCTTCTTCTTCTCTCTCCTCTTCCCCTCCTCCATTTTCATCAACATACCAGAAAGATTCAACCCCATCATCATCTTCGTCTGGGAGTAAAATAAGCCCTGCTGTTATTTTCATTGTAATCATACTTGCTGTTATATTCTTCATCTCCGGTGTCCTCCATATGCTTGTTAAATTTCTTCTGAAGCAAAGATCTTCCTCCTCATCATCATCATCAATCTCTCAATCCAATAGGTACCCTGAAATGTCTGGCTCTGATGCGTTCGAGAGACAGTTACAGCAACTCTTCCATCTCCATGACTCAGGTCTAGATCAGGCTTTCGTTGATGCTCTCCCTGTGTTCCTCTACAAAGAAATCATGGGTCTGAAAGAGCCATTTGATTGTGCTGTTTGTCTCTGTGAATTTTCACAACATGACAAGTTAAGATTGCTTCCCTTGTGTGGCCATGCCTTTCACATCGGTTGTATAGACACGTGGTTGCTGTCAAATTCAACTTGCCCGCTTTGTAGAGGAACCCTTTTCACACCTGAGTTTTCCATAGAAAACCCAATTTTTTGTTTTGATGATTCAAGGGAAGAAGATGGGTTTTGGGGCCATGGACCAAGTGGGGTTAATTCTGCTCAAAAACCAGCTGAACAGGATGAGATTGTTGGTGAAAAGAAAGTATTTCCAGTGAGACTTGGTAAGTTTAGAAACACAAATGATAGTAGTAGTGGTGGTGGAGGAGGAGAGAGAAGAGAGGGAGAGACCAGTAATAGTAATTTGGATGCAAGAAGATGCTACTCAATGGGGTCATTTCAATATGTTGTTCCAAGCTCAAACCTGCAAGTGGTCTTATGCCCTAATAGTACAGCCGGTGGAAATGGTGGTCATGTGAAAGGGAGAGGAGGACAAAATGGGAATTTCACAGCTGATGGAGATGCAGAGGGGAAGAAAATTAGCAGTAGAAGCAAAGGTGAAAGCTTTTCAGTCTCCAAGATCTGGTTGTGGTCTAAGAAGGGCAAATTCACAAGTTCTTCAGATACCCACATGCTTAATTCTTCTGTAAATGTTGGTTTGCCTCCATGGACTGATAGAACTCAACAAGCTACATGAAGGTATTTTCATTTTTCTTTGTATTTTATTCATTAATTTTATGGATCCATTTTGTTAAAGGTTCCTTTAGCTTTAGCTTTTGCTTTTTTGGCCTTGATTTTAGGTTTCTTTTCTCCTCTCAAATACAAATTTGTGGGGGATGATTACACTTTATGGCAGATGGCAATCTACTTTAGCTTTTTCATTTTAATTCAATACACTTGTCAGTTTGATAAATGCTCTTTAACTCTTTCCTTTTGCTTCTAACCTTTTGTTGATAATTATGCTCTTTTATAATTTTTAAATTCATAATTTGTTCATACTATAGAGCCATAAACTGGATACAGGTGCAACCTCCAAAAAGTGAAAGATTTATCAAAGTGAAAGATTCATTAAACACAGTAATCTGATAACTAAATTATTTCGTTTCCTCAAAAGTTGAGATTGATATCTTTATGTAATTTTGTGTAATTAAAAAGTACAATAAGATTTGAGGTGGTTGGGGTTGAGGTGATTGGCCTTCTCTATAATTTCTTTTATACTTCTAATGTGGACCCTCTTCTGGGATGGATGGATGAATAATCATGACTCATGATCATGGTGGGATCTGTGAAAAGTGGTGTTAGGAACTCTTGTGATGATCTTTTCTTTCTGATCTTGCTCTGCCTGGCTTAGTTTGCAAAAACTGAGAACGAATGAAGGTAAGACCTTTAACCATTGTATTTTTTTTAAGTTCAAAATTAAATAAAATAGTATGCGAACAAACTTTATAGTAAAATGTGGTTAGTAATTACATTTTTTTTATACAATGTGTAATTGTCTAATCCTAAGTAAAAACTTTATTAGCAATAAAGATTTGAAAAAAAAAAATGTAATTGCTAATCATGCTTTACCATAATTAAATAATAAAGTTTTTCTATACACTATTTGTGTAATTTTTTGAATTGAAAGAACCCTACAATGGTTAAAGCCCCTAATAAGTCTGATTAGGTGAACAAAACTCTCCTGATTTCGCCCAAGAAAGAGGATTGTGAACAAAATTATTTTTCAAACCATTGGCCATTGGGCTGCCCCTTCTTATTATTTTCTTTTCTTTTCTTTTTGGCCAAACACTTTGTGTGATGATGGGGTGGGGAGCATGATATGAAAAGTCAGCATGAATTATCAGTGGATTGTAGGGTCATGGAGTGTTCCCGCAGGGCCCAAGCTTATTTATGATGCCTTGCCCCTATATCTCCCCAAAATATATGTTGTCCCTCTCTAACAGTGTATTTGACAGCAACTGGTTGGAAAATTATCAGAATTCAGAACTGATTACTGTAAACCTTATGTATATATATATATATCTTGGATCTTGGTAACATATGAAAAAGAAAGAGAATCTATAGATATCAAGAAGCTTATTATTAAATTTAAAATAGCTTTTTATAAATCATGCTTTTTTAACCCAGGGTGAGTGGTAACCTGGTAAGGGCCTGGGATTTAAGGTCCTGGGTTCAACTCTTCTCTGGGCCAATCTCCTGGGCGTAGCACAGTTGGTTAGGAGGTTGACCTCAAGGATGTCTTATCAGCTACTTGGTGTGAGTTTAATTCTCCCCCGCTGTGCGAGTCTTAACTTAAGCGGAGCTTGCCTTGGGAGGTCGGGACAAGCTTCCAGGTTGTCTTTTATTCGGAACGGACAACAGGACACCCTGGTGATCTCCTCAAGAGGCGCTGCCTTGGACCTGCGGGAGAGTGGGAGGATTTTCCTGTAACAAAAAAAAATAAAAAAAATCATTCTTTTTTTTACACTTTTTCAATACACTATCTCACTCAATATTAATAAGTGCATTAAGGACACATATTAATATTTGCCTTTTTGTTTATTTGCATATGTAACATGATATCACATTATTAGAGCTTTAGTTTCTAGTTTCAGATATCAGAGTTTTATTAGTGTAGCTTATATCAACGTGTCCTATTTTAAAAATTTTAGAGCAACTGTGTCAATTTAGTCCTTCGTTTATTCGTAAACTTTTCACATTACATCAGTTCAATTCCATTGCCGAAATTCCTTAGAAATTAGTATTAAATCCAAAGGCAAAATAGTTTTATTTTTCTCAAAGTGATTTTGGATTTGGTGTGCAATTTAAAATATTTCAATCTTTTTTGAGTAGGCCATTTTGTCCTATTTCTTAATATGATAATTATCAATTGAAGTAAAAAAATGAAAATGCAAATTTAATATAATTGGAATTACACAGATCAAATTAACACACAAAATAAATTATAAAAATAAAATTGTTCAAAATTTTATTACTGCATATTATTATATTGATTAGTAAAAATATGTATAATTTATTAATTTATATAATATTTTGTTAGTGTATAGTGGCATGCCTATATGGACAGTTCCCCAATTATTATTGTATATATTTCACTTCTTTTTTGTTTTAAACCACAAAAGGATTCATCATATTCATCTTTAAACCCTAAAACCTCTGGTATGTGCCATATGATATGAACTGAAAGCAAGATAAAACAAAAAATGCTAAGTAGAAAGTCCAAAACTGTCCAAATCATAAACATGGGAAAATTATACTCTTCTCAAAATAATTACTCTTTGATATTTGTTTAAACTATGAATTATTCTTTATGATTCTATATATTATATTTTATTTTATGTTTTTAATCACATAACAAATGATTAATTTTGTTAATAAATTAATTAATAATTTTTATTAAAGTCAAAAATATATTTCAATTAACAAGTCGAATAATTTTATCGTTGTATAAAAAAGTAGTTAAAATTTTTATTTTTTCTGTTAATTTTATTGAATAAAAAAATTTGAGAATGGATTAGTTATAATTTTTAAAACTATTTTAAGCAAACGTTAGAAAGCATACTTGTAATTTATTCCAATTTTTTTAAATTTTTTTTAAAATTTTCAATTTTTTACTGATTTGTTATTTTTTCTAATAAAACAGTATTACCAAACCCACAAGGCAAGGCAGAGATTTGTGAAATGATGATATAGATAGGTGTCTTTTTCAGAATGGAGCAAGGTTTTGATAAAGGACCCAAAAGTATAATTTGATGGGTTCTTGAAGAATCCAAGGGAATTTGGCTTTCATAATCATTTTAAACAATAACAATGATAATAACAAATTTGGTAAAAAAATTAAATTAAATTCATAAATACTTATTTTTTTATATGATTTAATGCATAATTATTTTTTAAAAAATATAAAAATATACTTTTGATGTTTATTTTTCTCAAACTAATTTTTATTTATTTAAAAAAATTCAAAACATATTTTGTAAATCAAACCAAACATATCCGAAGGTTCTTGCATGCTGGATTATACTGGAATGGATAATGCTATTCACACTATTTTTTTTATTAGGGACACTTTAAATTAAATTTTATATTTATTTATGTTAATGCATCTTCAATAATAAATATCAAATTTGGTACCCCTTATTGATTTTTAGCCATGCTATCATGTAAACTTGTCAAAATTTAGCAATCTTGCATCAATGCTTATGTTCTATTTAGGCACAACCATCGTCTTATCTTTTCAATTATCGTTGAATCTCTATAAAGTGCATTTAAAATATTTTCGACTAAAGAGCAGTCACTATTTTGCCAACTACATCAGTTGCCCTTCCTTGATCTCTACACTTCGCTTTCTTTTCCACTTGAGTGAGAATAATATCACCCTGTTAGAATTTACCCATGAAGCGTGGCATTAATCACCAAACACATAGGCTCTGTTTGGTAGAATTTTGAAATGTTAGTTTCAGATTTTGATTTGTATATGGTGATTATTTATGATTTTTAAAAATTAATTTTACACTCATTTTTAAAAACTCTGTCAAAGGTGAAAAAATTTAGGCTAACTGGACGTCTCACTGGAAAAATTTAGGCTAACTGGACGTCCCACTGATCGTCTAGTTGGTTGATCGGAACAGTGTAATTTTTTTTTTGTGCAATTGACATATGTTAATTTTTATATATTCAATAAAAAATATTTTCTGAATTTTTTAAATTTTTTATGAGTTTTGAATAAAATTTTGAGTTGTGTATTTAGTTATGAATTATAAGTTTTTATATCAAATATCATATGTCACATTAAAAATTTCTCACTCAATTCAAAACTCATTTATCAAATAAATTTTTTACACTTAAATCATAATTTTAAAACTCACAAACTCAAAATATAATTATATTTTCAAATTATATTTAGAAAACTCTACCGAACCGAACGCTTTTATGTTTTTTCATGTCTGACATAAAATTTTAAATCTTATTTTCTTTTCAATCATAATATTCCGACACACCCATACCTAAAACCACAAATTTTTTCTTTTTTATTTTCACTTTTAAAGACCTTCATTTATAGGCCCCACTATGTGATATTTTGCGCGCAGCATTGTACCATACCACCAAGGCTGCCAATTTAATGGCTACATGGAATATCAGATTTTTTTAACTTTTTAACTATTTTAATCATTAAAAAACTAAAATAAATTTTTTAATTCATGAAAACAAAACATCACATTCAAATCATAATCATTTTATTTTTTTTCTCACAAAATTAAAAAAACTAAAAAAAATCTATTCCAAACGAGACTTTTTAATTCCAAACTAAAATAACCAAAACACAAAAAAATTAAAAAACCAACCCGCATCCCAAATGAAACCATAATTCTTTATCATTCCTAAACAAAAGAAAATGGATTCCATGGATGTTTATTGATGTTTAGTGAAAATAAAAAATAAGAAATAAAATTATGTATATTTAGCACAAAGAGAGAAGATGGACATATTCAAGTTTCTTGGGCATCCATAATCCTTACAAGTCAGTTTTCAAATGTAAGCTGTATTCAAATCATTCATATAATTTTGTATCAAAACCATTCACCACATCGATCGAGTATGGGATGAATTGAGTACAACTTTGCAATTCAAGCCATATGCAAGTATCGGATCAAAACCAACAAGATGTCAAATTGTCAAATATCGGACTAGAATAAACCTATAAATTGGAGTAGAATATCTAATAAAGGTCATCAAAAAAATGGATGCGCTATTAGCCATGTGCATATAACTCTCTTAAGCATATTCCCTTTCTAAGTTGAATTTCAAGGATTAAATATCCCATCTTTTGGGAATTCCATTTTAACTGTGTATCAACCCAATAACAAAGGCTAAATAGTATTCACCCAAAAAAACAAAGGCTAAATTCTTACACGGCCCTGAAAAAAAAATATATATAGTAGAAAATTTATAAAATACAATTAAATGGACACACGGCCACTTGATGTTTATATAAGAAGTGAGACTGAGAAAACTTTGGATGTCACTTGTTTGTTTTTGGATGACCTTTGAAACACTCCAAAAGCATTCCTCCATGGCACTTCCAAAAAACAGAGATTGAAATTTATGATTCGAATTGAATACATATATTACATTTTCGCATATAAATTGGTCTAACAAAATCTTGAATAATAAAGCAAGTGGGTTGAAAAATCGCAAATTCTGCCACCAAGAACACCTCAAGTTATCAATTCGACACACAAGCTCCACTCTGCACCTTGGAGCAAAGATTTTAATTTTCGAAAATGAATCTTATCAATGTACAAAAAAAGCACCTTCAAACCGAAGAAAATGAGTTGCAAAATGAAGCCATCCAAGATATCCCAGAACTCAAAATCACTCAAAAGTTCCGACTGCTACTACTAACACTACAGACACGGAGAACACTTCTCCTGGTAAAAAATATGAGCTCGTGCATCATCTTTCACAACTTTCGGAACTATTTGATCTCATAATCCACGGGGGAAATTGTTGATTTGTCCTTCCTCCAAAACCTCTTTGTTATTGACCTTGTAACTTATCCGTGTGCGCATGACAAGGGATTTCTGAAAATAAATGAAATATTATATAGTATCTGAAAAAAAATTAAATAGCTTAAATTCTAAAGATGGAATATTGCAAAATGAAATAATAGTCAACAGTTTTCCATACGACCAAAAAAAAAAAAGGAGTATTTTTTTAATACACCCTGAGCCTAATCAGTGAAGTTAACAAGTGCTTAAAACCTAGTTCACAGAAACTCATTCATCAAATCGAAAAACCAAATCTTAAAAACAGTTAAACAAAAAATTGTGTAATACAATAAAGCCTATGATGAGTGGAAACTGGTTTAGACAATGAACAAAAAAACGAGGGAAGATACGACAAACATACCTTGCCATGTTGGCTGTTTGTCACTTGCAAATCTTGTGTGATTGACCCATCACCACTTGCAGCCAAAGTATTACCGCTAGCTGGATCTAAGTGCAGTTGAAGAAACTGTGGGAAGAAAAATCAGTATAATCACAGCAGCAAGCTCAAGAAAAAAATATAGTAGTTTTATGCAATTTGGCCCCCCAACTTAGTAATTGAACAAAGCAAATTCACTATCACTGAGTAAAGAACTAAAGTATTATGGCTAATGATTTTGCAAGTCTCTTTTATTCATGAGAACCGAATGTCCTACACCAACACTAAGAAATTTTTGCAAATTGCATGAAAGGACCCTTTTGAGGGATATGAAGCTTTAAGTAGTGAATTTCTGAACTTTTACAATCTAAAAAAAGGGTGCATGAGAAGATGAATTTGCAAATGCATATAAAATGCCTCGAAACATATATATTTTTAATTTTCCTTCTTTACAGAATGTCAACTAGCCTTGTTACTACATCAATTGAGTGAGAAAATAAAAGACATGAATCAAGCATAGGCTGATATGCAAAAGATTATGTAACGAAGGAGCTGGAAGTCTGCTTATGAGTTGAAATGTAAAAGAAAAATAATACGGTATGAACAAGTTTAGAAGATGGCTGTCATCTGGGCTTACCTTTGGAACAGCTGCCTGGAAAATAAAATCTGTATAGACATTAGGTGACTTATTTGTAAAAGTAGCCTGGATTATTGTTGTTTGTGGGTTTCCAGGTGCCTTTGAGAAGTTGAACATTATCTTCAAGGAGTTGGTCTCGAATGCAACTATTGATGGATACGCAGGACCATTGTCTTCTGTAAATTGATAAAAAAAGTATATCAACATTTAAAAACAAATATATATATATATACACATGCTAACAAAGTCCAAGTATTAGTGCAGGCTATACCACGCGCTGCCGGGTTAGGAGCAAAGCCATCCAACAAATCCATTACAGGAGAACCAACAGCTGGAAGAGAGGCTTGGCCAGAAAGTGCAGAAGGTGAAGACAATCTCTGTAATGTATTAACAGAAATCTTGTTATCTAGACTGGAAGATAAAATGTCAGATGTAGATGGGCTGCTTTGAGCTGGAGGCGTCCCAATTGATAAAAGATCCAATAAGACATCTGTGCCACTTTTTTGAGTCTGACTGGTACCTAGAACACCAGATGGAGCTGACTTAATAAGCATGGTTGAAAATGACATCAATTTAGTGGCTGGGAATATAAGAAAAAGAAAAGAGAACAATTCAGATACAAAATGGAACATTCAACACTAAGTGAAGCTTTGGCTAGTACCACTAGAATAACATATATGATATAACTGAACAGAGAGTTGTTATCATAAGACACTGACAAAATAGCATGCATTCTACGCAAATCAATAGTGTGTACAAATGTAATTTGCCAAATCCTCTTAATGTTGGTGGATGAACAATAAGTGGTTTTGAATTTAATTGCTTTCGGCTTGCGAATATTCCAATCACCTGAACCCAACTTATCACCTGCTCTGATTAAAATAAAATGCACAAATATGATAGATCATAGATGTATCTGCCTTTTTCCTCTTTTGTGAATGATTAGATAATGAGTTCCTCTCGTAAAATTTTTAGATTGGCAAGTTCCTCTCATAATAATGCACATCAAAATGAAAATCAGAACTATAGAATCTTAATAATGCCATATGTTTAGCAACGCTAAGCCTTTCCATAATGCAGCTGGAACACAGAAACAAGATATCAATGCTAGCTGGAGACAAAAGTAGTAGAAATTTTACAAGATTCATGGGTATTCATAATTAAAAAAAATAGTTATTCCTTGATGCAACCCAAAACTAACCTAATTGTGACAAAGCTGGTGCTAAATCAACCCCAAGAAGATCCTGAAGAAAATCACCACCAGACGAGCTGGGTACCGGAGCATCGTCTGAACTTAGATCTAGTAAATCAACAAGAGGAGCAGCACTGGGTTTTGCAACTCCATTTGGAAGATTAATTGCAGCTCCATTCGAGGTCGAAACGGTTGCTGGCAAAGAACCAGCCCTTCTTCCACTATAAGTTGCCTCATCGAGAACTGGCATCTTTTCAACAAGCAAAGACCTGCACACCATTCATCCGGCTGCTTTGTAAGATACAAAAGGAACAAAGTACATTAAATTTTAAAAAATAATTATAAGACTTGAGAAGACTAAAAACAGAGATTTTAGTAATGAATCAATGCATACCTGATATTCTGATGCTTCTGGATAACTGAATTAAATTCAATTGATCTCTGCTGCAGTTCAAGTACAAGACTTCCCTTATATTGAACGATTATATCCTTAATCCTCCTACAACAAATATTAACAAGACTTGAGATTTTTTTTTTTTTTTTGATAGGTAGAAAAGGCTTGAAAATAATATTATGCTCATATTTTAGGGAATATGCTACAAGATTATAAACATGGGATATAAAATGTCGAAGAGATATTTCATTCTTAATAGTAATCTGAAGTCGTACAAGTTTTGTAACAAAATTCAAAAGGCGTAGGTCAATGTAGGAAACAAGATATACGGCTATATATACAAAAACAGCAGATTGGAGTCATTATAGTTAGAATTATAATGCTAGAAAGACGAGTCAAAACCTTTTCATAGAGAGAGAACTCACAAAAACTCCACAAAACCATAGAAAAGTATAAAACACTCCAATTTTTAGCTGCTCAGCAGCCAAATATATTGGAGAACTATGACATAAAGGAGCAACTGGAAAACAACAACACAGGAATTACAGGTCCAAGTGGAATTAAATGGCCATTTAAGACCAACAGCAAAACCTCATCAAATAAACTGGAGAGCTTGAAATATTTTAAACTAACTTGAGTAACATTATATCTGATGCATTCAACTAGAAGCATTTTCTAAAATTTAACAAATTCTGCAGGGATTTAAAAGGCCACTGGAAATACATACATCTGGCAAATTGCATAGAATAGATGTCATCAACATTTAATGAAGAAATTAAAGAATATAAAACATACTGTGAACAAACAGGAAAACGACAGGACAGCTTTAACAAAGCAATCAAACACATCGCCTGAGTTGTAAGATCCGAGATATGGCGCTTTATAGCAATCTCTATGACATCCACTGCATCAGACTCTGTCACCTGCATAGAACAACCAGGTTGATCACTTCCTTCCAAGGAAAGAATACTATTCACCTTGTTTGGTTCCACTTTTCTGAGTTAATTTTTAGAATTTTGTTTTGAAAAGTGTTTTTGGAAAATGAATCGTTGTTTGGTTGTTCCAGTTTTTTGAATTTTGGAACAACAATTCAAAATTCCCTCCAAAATACAATGACTCAGTGGGATGCTAAGATTTTGGGTCTAACGTACAACAACCAACCATTCAGCAATTAAAAAAAAAAAAAAGAAGAAAGAAGAGAAGAGAACAAGTCACGTTAGAGAGAGAGAGAGAGAGATTCTGATTTCATGTGGTCCCGCTCTATTTACAAACTGCTAAAAAAGAACATCAAATCACCTGACAGACAGAAGAAGAAAAAAAGTATCCGGAAAATTGGATTTTGGAACTTTTTTTGGATTTTGGAACTTTCTTTGGTTTTTGGACTTAACCAAGCAGAAAGTCCAAAATTTCCTAAAAATTGAGTTCAGAAAATTGGAACCAAACATGTTGATTGATGCCAAAAAGAAAATATGACAGGCAATAATACAACCTAGCTGGTCCAAGCATCCATCTTTAGCCACAAATCTATTCCATTATCATGTTACAGATTACTGGATTAATTTGTTGCTTTGGTAGAAAATCATCTATGGTAGTAACAGCTTAGAAACTGAAACTTCTTAGGCTACCAAAGGTTATTTCTCTCTCCTCTCCTTGGCCACATACTTAGCCCATGCATAAGAAGCATGTAGTAAATGCAATCTCAAATAATGACATGCAAGTTTGTGATAGCAAATGCTTGCAAATAATTAAGAGAATGAGATAACTATTGAAGAATTTCCAATGATTTGCAGAAGATGTTTTAATGGACAGTCAGTCAGACAAAGAAACCTATTATTGAAAAGTAAAGACACAAAAATAAAGTGAAGACCAGATTGGCCTAATGCTTCTTCTGATCATCAAACCAGGTCTCCAACAAGACTAGGGGAAAAAAAGAAAACAAAGCTTAGAACTTTTCATTATCAGTCAATACAAGGAGTTCAAACCTCCAAAGAACATCTTTGTAGTAAATCAGGCAACAAATTTCAAAAAATATTTCTCTACTCCATTGAAGAATTCGTGATGGAATTTTTAGGCTGTAGATTCAAAAGATTTTTGACAGGCAGCAAGGTGTTGTGTGTTCAACATGTTACTATATTTTTGCTTCTAATCAATGAAATGATAATTTACATTCATCTGACACATCAGACTGAACCAGAAAATGAAATAGAAATATCTTTGATTTCATACCATATGTCAATCAGTTGCTGGATTTTTTATTAGATCGTCTAAAAAATAATTTAATACTAGTTCCTATAAACTGATCTTATTAGCCATTTAGAAATTCTAATTCAAACTTTGAAGAGTATTGCGACAAAACTCAAAATTGAAAACTTCAATTAGTGCGGGCATAATGCCTTCTAGTTATAACATATGTCACCACCAGATTAATGGAGATCAACCACAACAAAAATCCAAATTAAGCAAAATTTGCATAAGCAAACTTACAGTTATTGGTTCTTCTATACCAAGCATTCCAGCATTATTGACTAACATTTCACCATATTCTCCAATGCACCAAACGGCCACTCGAACAAGACTTTCCTGAGAAAGATATCAAAACAATTTTCCACTTAACTATTCAAGGTGATGCAACTTCTGTAACAATCTCTTTATCCTAATACAGAAAAAAAAAGTTGAAGTACCTGATCACCTGATGTTTGGACTGCTTTGTAGAGAGACCGTACAGTATATCCATGGAGGTTAGAAGCATTGCTTATCACAACAATTAGGGCATGCCATACTTCATCCTTTACAAAACTTCCTGCCTACTAAGCATATCATAAAGATCAGTACCTTTTACCAAATGGGCCAAAATTACATCAAAGAAAACTAAAGGTATACATTCTAGACAACATGGCATGAGAAAATTTTCCAATAAGAAAGAAAACTGTTGAGCAGCAGCACCACCGGTGTGTTGCAGAATTATATATACAATCAATATATATAATCAAGCTACACATCTGCCGGTTCAATGTGAAATCATACAGAAAATACAAAACACTTGGATCTAGAAGATGATACAAAAACAATTTTGGTAAACATGATCATTGACAATTGCATATTCTGTAGTATGCAAGGTCCTAAAAAGCGGCTACGGTCGCCGTAACGGAGGCGGTGGCAAGGGCGAGGTTGCGGTAACCGGAACTGTGAATTTTTTATTTTTTACACAATTTGAAAAAACTTGCCGATACGCATTTTTTTTTCCCTTAATCATATTTATTGGATTTTAAAATAAATATTGATCAATTTTTGTAAATTTTTTAGTATGATCCAATATATTTCATATTTTTAAATCACTATAAACTGAGTTTTTTCCATTTTATTTTAATAATTAATGACTTTATATGTCATAAATCCATATTGTGCTTGTGGCAAATTTTTTTTTTTATTGGATTTAGATGTATAAAATTATTTTTTTAATTATTATACTTGTGGAAGCATATGCAAATTTTCACTTGAATAGTTTTAAAAAAATAAATTATACATGCTAATGTAATCATATAAAAATTAAAAAATAAATTACAAAGAGTTTTTTTTTTTGGTTTGGATTACTTGAATATTCATTCTCTTTTTGGATAAAAATATATATATAAAAAAAATATATGTATTAATATATTTAAAAAGTTTTTTTTTTTTTTTTTTTTTTTGGTTTGGATCACTTGAATATTCATTCTCTTTTTGGATAAAAAAATATATAAAAAAAAATATATGTATTAATATATAATTATACGTGTCATGTTTTCTAAGTATTTTACAAAAAAATCAATCACTAACTACTATATATAAGATAAACAATGACAAAAGTAAGAGAATAAATAAGAACTTAAATATATATATTTTTTAATCAAGCCAAATAGATAATGACTACACTTATTATTATTATTATTATTTTTTTTTTTTCAAGCAACATATAGATAGACACACACAAACAAAATGATTGAGTAATAGCAGCTGAATAGAATAGCATAGGTCTTACAACTTCAACATATCAATAAAATATTCTTCATCTTCCCTCTTCTCTCTCTATCCCTCTTCCCCCATTTTCAATTTTTTTTTTGTGTGTTTTCAAAAGAAGCAGTTTGGAACCGTTACATAACAGTGTGTAGCAGGCCGTTACGGCACCGTTACAGCCGCTACGGCCAACACACTTGTGAATCTCAATCACCGTGCAAAAGCCGCCGTAACGGGTGGCGGTAACCACCACCACCCGTTACAGCCGTTACGTAACGGTTGCAGCCGCTTTTTAAAAACTTAGTAGTATGTCAGTAGGCCCTCCATTACCTTAGTCACTCTGCAGTAACAAAGCATCACATGAGCATCTGGAAATAAAAATAAATGCAATCTAGAACTAAAATACCAGGAGCATTTAGTACAGCTCACTTGTGCCTTACAGATTGTACAGAGGCTGCCATGCCACAGATACATCATCCGGCACATGCCACGCTACTATAAATAGTTTAGTAGGCCTCTGCTCTCTATACGCTACAGACTGCAGCACGGGCATTTCAAAAGGGGAGCCCTGACAAGTATTTTCTCACTTAACTGCCACTCTCTACCTCACTATGACTACCTCACCTCTCACCGACTCCTTAGAACTCCCCGCCATTTGACATTTGATTTCCACATGACCAATTTAAATTTATTGGCACTAAGAAAATTTTATAGAAGGCCTACTATAAGGCCAGCTACTCCATATGATATTATAATTCCTGGGAGTAAGAAAACATGGCAACCATATAATTAATGATTAAAGGGATAACAGACAAGACTAGGAAAATAAACAATCAAAACTGAATCCATCTGTAACAACTAATAAATTAGCCACAAGATGTGAGAAAGCCTTTGAAGATGATCATGTTATGGCAAAGGCACCACAACATGGAGGCTAAAATGGAGTCAGTCAAAGGCAACACAACAAAATGGAGAAAGTCAAAGAAGATCTTGAGATTATGAGAAACTGACTACACATCAGAACCCATGATGTGAAAACAAGTGTGGCCCTAAAATATAAGAGAATAAAATATAAAAAGATTTTATTGACACCATAAATACACTCGATTATAATATATCACGAGCATTTAAGTGTGAAGACTGAAGATAAGCCTCCAAATAAATATATATATTTTTTTCTTTCTAAAAAGAAATGTGAATACAAGCCTCAAATATATATCCTAAAACCAATAACTAGAATGACCAGCACTTTAATTCATACCTCAGAGAGAACCTTGAGCATCTGATCAATGTACCAAATTTTGTCCGTGGAAAACCTATAGCAGAAAATAGAAATTAAGCAGCCTAAACTTCAAAAATATATATATATATATATATTAGACGAGAAAAATAATATACTTTAATTACTTATCATTCTCAGCCAATCATATTGATATATCTTAGGTTGCAATTTGTCCTACTTGATCGAAGCCCAACCATACATTACATGTTAAGATTACATCATAGAAATAATTTCATACCACTCTGCAAGGTTTCAACAAGAAAGAGGTTCAAAATTTTAAATAAAACATTCATACCACTTACTTTTCAACAATGGAGCAAGTTTTCGCAGTAAGATCTCCTTTGAAATCTTGATCACTTACTTCCAAATATTCAATAAGCTCTTTTGTCAAAGACTTTACATTGCTTTCATTTACAAGAAGATACACAAGTTCAAGGGCCCTTTTCCGAATAGAAGCATCTGAATCCTGAAAAATGTATAAGCAAAGTCAAAATAACAAGAATGCACCAGACAGTCAAGGGCTATGCATAAATTTAAAGCCAGAACTCCATACTGGATATCAATGGAAATCATTAAATTTAATGGTTCAATTTGTAACAAAATAGCATATAAACCAATAAAAAATGCCAAAGCAAGAAAAAAGCAAAATAGAGTATAGTAACAAACATCATTTCAAAGAATATTATGAGAAGAATATTAAAGATATGAAAACATTTTCTAAAAAATGTTGGCATGAGCAATATGTTACTTCTGCTATAGCAAATGCACTGGAATAAGTTTGTGCACCAAATCAGCCAATGCAGCGAAGGCGGAGCAACCACTTTTATTTGTCAAAGCAATGAGATCTAGAGCACAAGACAAGCATGCACAGAAGACAGTTTATTAAATGAAGAAATATGTTCGAACATAGGAAATATTGAGCTGAAATCCCAGGTGCTGGAGCCACTCCAATTGCAAGCCTTGGGTAGCCAAGGATTGTTGCAAAACAAACTTTCAGAAGTGAACTGTTCAATTCCTTACCAAATGGTTCAAGACTTTTGATCACAAGTTCTCAGTTTTATTATCATTTAAAAATAATAATAAAATTAAAAAAAAAACTTTTTTTTTTAATAAATAAATAAATAAAAGTGCCAGAGATCTGGTAATCCAAGTACATGCAAAGTATACCCAAGCAAAAGAAAATAAAAACAAAAGCCACTCAAAAAACCAATAGAATCATATAATGTAAAAAGTCTCCCTCATCAATATTAAGAAAACAATAAACTAAGCATGAACTGCATCAACTCAGAACCTGGCACATGCCCAATTATCAAATGATCTCCTATCCCTCTCCCTCCAAATTCACAAAACAAACCTAGAATCCATATGCCAAACCTAACCCTACTTGCCAGACACCACCATCAAGAAATTCCAATACAAATGCTAAAAACACCCACTGAACTCCAAAAAAGGATAAATTACCTTCCATAAATCTATTGCCATGGGCAATACAAAAGAAGATGATTGACAGTCTCTTCCTTTTTTTCAGGTACAGATTGACAGTCTCTTATTCTTTTTTTTTTTAGGTACAGATTAACAGTCACTTCCAAAAGAAGATTATTGTTAAATTTTATTCATAATTAAAAAAAACTCCATCAAAGAGCAATAACATAAAATATTGAAGTGTAAATGTAGGGTCCAACTAAGGTAAAAAAATTGTGGTTTTGGGTACCATACCGAAACAAATTGATAAGTATGGTCACAATATGTGGTAAGTAGGTTCGGTTCCAGTGGTAAGTAGATGGTCACATTGTGTGATAATCATTATCAGTTTCAAGTGGTAAGTAGGGTCACACTGTATGGTAAGTAGGGTTAGTTCTAGTGGTAAGCAAGTAAGATAATGAAAACTATGCTTTCTGGGAAAACCACCTCGCGTTTTGTATCCAATTTTACTCATACTAATCAATGGCTGGAAATTTCCCTTAACTAGTTCTAACAGTTGAGAGTGCTTTTTGGATATGGTACCCAAAAACCACTTTTTTTTTGTATCGCGGTAAAACCTACATATATAATTTCTCTTAAATTTTCTATGTAACAAGATTACATGAAACCTCCTCATCTTTTCATGCATTGGTTTCTGAGCTATAAAGCCACACCTAGTATGCAAGTTAAACAAACTTGATAGGCTATCACATAATTTTAGGAGTCTCCTTTTGGTAAAGAAAACTTTAATGGGGCTTTCCAATACCTTCACACATTCCAAGATTGTTGCCCGATGCCTCTGCACTGCTTGTGTATCTACTGTGATAGCTCTCATCAGCATGTTCAACGCAACATATCTGAGAGAGAAGGACATGATAAACTGTGTCAGTTTGAATATCAGCAAAACATTATAGAGAGGGAAAAAAGAAGAAGAAAAAAACGTAAAGGCACATCTAGATTTTGTTAAGTAACAAAAATTATGAAACATAAAGATTGAAACCATCACAAGGGTCAATGTATGAGGAACCATGAAAAACAATAAAAAATTAAAAAAAAAATACATGTGAAGTTATCAACCATAATAGTCATGCCCTGGATTAATGCAAAATGAATAAAGAATGACCTGATATTGTTGTCACGGTTTGACAGGAATCTTCCCAAAATATTGATGGCAAGCACCCGCAAGCCGCTGTTATCTTCAATGCTCATAATTGTTTCAACACATTCATATAAAATGGCATTCCCGGCATTTTTGTTCGACTCGGTTTTTGTTGCAACCTAGAAAAAGAATACAGCAATGTCACCAGTACCATTAGACTTTGTCTATGAACAGGGTACATTCTCTGCATTCATATTCAAGATAAATATGCTCATCTACTTCGAAATTGTAAGAGAAATAATAGAAAAATAATGATATCCACACTCCACTTTTAGCCTCACACTCCACTTGTGAGAGGCAAAGCACAAACAAAGGGGTGTGGTAAGCTTAAAGTGTAGTATAAATATCATTGCTATAGAAAAATGTTGCATATAACTGATTAGAGCATGCATCATCAAGTCAAAAGAGAGAGAGAGTATTCATCAATCATGTGACGCATAAAAAAACATACGTATGCACATCTTTGTAAGACCACAAGATAATTTATTTTATCGAGCATGCAAGAGCACAAAGCATGCATTATCAGATCAAAAGAAACAGTAGTCATCGATCACATGGTGCATAAACAAAACATGTATGCAAGAACACAGAGCAGAGAAGATTGCCATTGAGGTAATATATCTCATTGAGTATGTGTAATTGCAGACCAAGGTACTGAGCAGTTAAGAAAACAGGCAAGAATGCATGTAAATCATTTGGATAGTTACAAATTTAGATAATATGTTGAGAAATAAGAAGCAATAGAAGAAAATACTATAAAAAAAAAAACCCCTAGATTTCATTCACCAAAAGTAGCATCATAGCGAATTGCCAATTCAACCACAAATGAATTTCTGGTTAAAAAATAAATATATAAATAATCAAAGTAATAATAAATAGTAAATAATAACATACAAGACATTGTCAATAGTTTTATACACTTTTTCAACTAATATAGCATGAATTGATTGCAGGGGCAGGGGAGTACAAATAGCAGCTGACCTGAGCAAGAATGTCGTTCATGCAATCGCTAGCATCTGCATCTCCGTGACCCAATATGCGCAAAAACCTGAGTAATCTGATATGGAGAAAAGGATCTGTAATCCCAGAGATGTCATACTCAGGTGCATATGGACTGTTTGCAACATCCTTTAAAGATTTGACCACAGCCTCTGTGCATTTCTACAATCACATAAAAGATACAATTCTAGTCACATTGAAAAATTGATCAGATAATCAAAACATGAGACCCCATATTTCTAGAAGAAAACCGTATGGTCAAATTATTTCAAGAAGAAAACTTTCTGTGACCACTAAGACATCAAGTCTTTCACTACTAAAATTAAATTGAGAACAGTGGTGACAGCAAACAAATGTCATTCTTTCATAGCAATGAGAAGATTGAATTACCTATATTACCAAGAATCCAGCAATAGTAGTTATAATTTCGTTACAAAGTAGTTCTAGAGCCATTAATGACTGAAATTATCATCCTCAATCCACAAAACCCAGTCCGAGACTATAGGCACTCAAACAAGTAAGTGGATCCACCTCTCAACTTAGAGATTCCTCAACATGTACTGCCCAAGCCCATCATCTGTTATAGATAAACAAAACCAAAATATTCTCTTCTGCAGAATAAGTCTAAGCCTTGGCGTCCTAAATATTTATAGGAATTCCAAAATTTGATATTTCCTCAGGAGCTTCCTTTTACTCTCAACTCTCATGGTTTCCACAGTAGTCGTACTTGTAATCTTTTCATAATGCTCCTTAGAAAACCCTAGCCCATTAGAAAATGTGGGCTTCTATAGGATGATTGAATGTCATTAGCCACAATTTTCTCAAAATCTGTGGCAGGTAGAGAGAAAAAAAAAACTGAATTCATGAAAGAAAAAAGAAAAGGGCAAAAACAAAATGAAGCAATTGCCCGAACCAAAAAGCACAAATGAATACCAGCATGTACCAAGGACCAAGACTGGTTTCAAAGAAAAGGCGTTTGGGCACTTAAGTTATATTTGAGCAGTGAGTAAGCATCTTGCTTGGATATCTGATGTGTGCAAAAAGCTCACACTGCCACTGCAATTGCTCAATATTTGCTCAAGTTATAATGGATGGTCCAATACACAAATTGCATGAACTAGAACGGTAGTTACCAGTCCATGCCACAAGTTAATAAGTAGGTTATCAGTCAATGCAATAACTCAATAATTGAGAAACATACATAGAGAACTCCCCCTACAGTAGTCTGGCACAAGGAGTTTCAACCATGATGGTCAATTAGTAGGATAAGGATATGTTCATTTCTGTTGTATTCCAATTCTTACAAAATGGTCTTATTATTGCATAGCCGGCTGCACATACCATTTCCTAGACATGCATGGCAAGGTAAGACCAAAAAAAGGCACCTATTATAAGTAAATTTATGCAAAGCAAAACATGAATCTAAACGTCCAGCAATCACTGGCATTGTAACTAGCACCTGCGGTACCCTATCCGGGGGTGGGGGGAACAAAAAGACAACCATTGAAGTCCTAATTTGGAGCCTCATCACTAGTGAAAAATCAGTCTTGATGTAGAAAAATGAATTTGTAAACTGGATAACCAAAACAAAACAAAAACTTTTAATTCTAAATCTCAGTTCAAAGATTATGTACTATGGAGTTGGAAGGTTCAAACAAACAATGTAGAAAATATAGATATTGACTTGTTTCCAGCATGGTCCATACAAACAAAGAGGAACAGGACATATAATCATCCTAATAATTTCATCAGTACTTTTACAACAAAAACTCATGTAAAGCTCAACATGCCACACATATGCTTGCCTTTTCCTAATTACAAACAGGGGCGGAGCCAGGATTTCTCTGGTGGGGGAGCCATTTCGCCAAAGAGAAGGCATAGGATAAATCTATTGAGCCGTCGATGGATCCATTAGAGTTTCATTTGATTAAATCATTATTAAATATTACTCAATAGACGTCAATTGGACCAATAAAATTATAAGAGATTAGTCTTAATTAAATATTATTTGTATGAATTTTATCGTTAAGGAGGTCAAAATGTAAGAATTTATAGATAAACGTTAAGGTAATATTTGGCAATAGTTAAAAGAATCTTAATATAGTTAATCTTTTATGCAATACCCTCAAGTACATAAAGTTTTACAAATGATTCCATTAAATACATTATAGAAACTCACAAATAAACTATACTGTTTTTAACATGGACTGGATTAAATTTTTTCAATAATGTTACAATTTTTTTTTTTTTTTTGAACTACAATAATGTTAGAATGATCATCATTTTAACCACAATTTGTAATATATAAAAAAAATTTGCAAAAAGCATACATATAAAATGGAGATTTTGCAGAAGGTTGGATGGGCTAGGACCCCCCAACCCCCTACCTCTGCCCCTACACGTGGTCCCTGATTACATTGATTACATATACAGAATATTGTCTACATCATGGTCAAGTTACCTTTCTAAAATATTCAAGAGCCTCTGCACTGGTTGTACATAGATCTATGCAGAGCTGAAGTCCTGTTATTAAAACTCCATGGTGCTTTTCCTTAAGTAAGCCAGCAGCAGGGTTTATAAAATTTTCTGCCAGGTCCGGGACTTTCTTTATAATCCTAATAGAGCACAGTGCTGCCTGCATTACATGGTGAATTGAGTACACAACTACAATAAACAAAAATGATAGGAGAAGAGAAGAGAAGAGAAGCAGAAAAACATAAAGATCAAGCAGTACAAAATTTCACATTGGTCAACTGCATAATTTATGTAATGAAACTCAAGCCATCTAATTGCTATCTTTTAACTTCACTTTCAACAAAGACAACATCCAAAGCAGTGCATATTGCGAATCAGAGGGAATGGAATGAAGACTCTACTGGAAGCAAGAAGAGAAAAATTATCATCTCCTGAATCATTTCCAAAGATGGGACTGATTGGTGAAAGAAATTAGCAGATACAGGAAAAGCAAATTGCACCAGTGACTACATTCTGTTTTCTGGCATGAAAACTAATATAATCATGACGTTTATTGGCAAGGGGAGGGTTACCCCTAGTTGTGTAGCTGATCACCGATGGACTAAACATTATAACAAAAACAAAAACAAAAACAAAAATAAAAATAAAAATAAAAATAAACAAACAAACAAACAAACAAACAAATCAGTAACAGAAAGGCAAATATATGGGAAATGAAAGAGGCAATACTCTTATTTTAAAATTGATTCAATAATGAGAAGTGTTTCTATCACAAGTACGAGTACATCCTTCAAAAGCCTGACAATCTTAAATTCTAGAGAGAAAAAAAATAATCAATAAATAAAATTGTAGAAAAATCTATATAACCTACAAAAAATAACCAAATCTTAAAACTCTATAATTAGCAAGAAACAAAATTTGATTGTAAAAAACCATTTCAACCAGCTTGGAATTAGAAACATTTTGGAAACAACGTTTCAGAAACATAATGGAAGCAAAATAAATGAATAAAATTGGAAACATGTGGAAAGATAAATTCTAAAACAAAATCTATTAATAATTGAAGATAATGACTGATTGGATAAGGTTCTCAAGGAGCTCCTTTCTGTTCATTCAAATTGCCCACTGAGAGACATTTTGACGTACAAGCAAGGTTTTAAAAAGCGGCCGCAACCGTTACGTAACACTGTTACGTAACGGTTTTGGCGGTTACCGTACAAGTAACGGCCCAAGTAAAATAATTGGTGAGGGTGAATAGCTGTAATTGCTTCTAATCATCAGAAAATTTAGTACTCCTACCACAGTCCCCCTGCAACAAAATCTAAACATGCAAATCCAATTTACGCATTTCTAGAGCTATTAAATTATTTTCAAATGGATTGGAAAATAGCCTATAAAAAAGCTTACTTTCTTCCGAATATTTGGATCTCGGAATTGTAGTAATCTTTCAACTTCCGGTGCAAGATCACGTGCCATTTCTGCAGAACATATATTCCCCAAAGCACAGAGAGCTAGTCCCACAATATACTGGTTGGTGTGATTAAGATCTCTGTGCATAAGTTAAGGTTTTTGAAGGAAATACTTATAAACCAGAAAGAGAAGTATATCAATGATAAATTTTTTCATCTTGAAGAGACAGTTACAATAAAACCAATAACTAAATTCCCATAGTAAAAATAAGCACTCTCATAGGATACTGCTTTAATGAGTTTGTGACCAACATCAGTACTTCTTGTCTTTCATCAAGAAGTAACATAAGGCCAAGATATCCTATCCTCTTCTCAGGAAATCCAGCAGATGCAATTAACTTTAGGCATTCCATTTGACCAAAATGTGTGGGGTAACCAAGCATGTGAATGAACATGAGCTTTGCTAGATTCCGATGCCTGTACTCATTATCATTTTCACTAACTGCTGAACGAATTGCAGCACACTCTTTTCTTACAACAGCCCGCTCTTCTGCTGCAGTTTTACAAGCACGTATAGCCCGAATCATGTCCCTGAAATGGAACAGTAAGTGTACCAATTCATCACTGATGGGGAAAAAAAAAATAGAAATAAACAAAAACACAACATCACAACAATTTGATTTGCACATTACAAATCTGTTTAAAGTATGCATGTACAACCTGACTAGCCTGACAATAAATACCCAGATGTACAAGTATAGAGGTACAACCTGACTTAAGGAGGAGATAGATTTTTTCTAAGTGAATAAGGAGACATAACAAAAAACCGCAGAAAAGGGAATGTCAAATTAAGAATAAGAAGCTTCTCCACTTAATTTAAGAAGCCAAGTTTCTCCCCGATTCTTAGAACCCAGGTCATGTAATCATAACAGACCTAACTTGCTAATATTGAGTTATTCTAATGCTACCTGAGGTATAGCGATGGTGGACTAAGTCTCACATAGATTGTTGTTTAGGCAAATTGAAGATCAAATCCAAATATATATATATATATATGTATGATCCTGTCAAGTTCAATACTGTGCCATTGTGCGAGTGTGATTTCATCAACAAGGTGAACGGGTAACAAGACTCAGTGATCCTATCAAGTTCAAAAATATGCTGTTGTTAAATAGTGATTTTATAAGCAAGGTGAATGAGTGGCAAGACTCAAATCTATTTCTCCAGAAGTCCATAACTCTTTTTGGACAACAAGTTGGAGGCATTACAGAAGGGTGTACAAGTTTGGAGCAGTGAGATGACGAATGGAAAAAGAAATATATGTGTAAGAACGGAAGGCACTTTTCAAGTAAAATCTAAGTCACCGGGAGTGGGAGCGGAAGCAAGAACATCCTTTATAAAGATAGCTTGCAAGCGAGATTGTCTTCAGAGCATATATACATATATTTCAATATATTTATATATTATTTTTAATATTTTATGCATTGATTTCTTATATACAAAAATAAATAAATAAAAGAATTACATAATTCCATTTGTTAAGAAACAAAATGCAAAGTTGTACACGGGTTCCAAGTTGGTTTGTCAGTGAGATTGCCTTTCTAATCTATCATTGGTTGCATGTTTGATTCCCCGGTTGAAACTTTTTGACGTATTAAATTGGTTGCAACTTGCATGGCGCAGGCAGTGAAAGGGCATAGCAGAACATGTGGCACAACATAATAAATTGAAATTCAATTGGTTAGTAAAATGAATATTTGACTCGATAAAACTGAGAATTTGACCAAGTTTTGAAGCTAGTCCGTCAGTTTGTGTGCTAATTCGCAATTCCAGCCACCATTATAGGCAAATTCGGTGACTAAGGTAGCGTTTGGCTCACTAGCATGCAATGGAATAGAATGATCATTCCATCAAAATGCTCATTTACATGTTTGGATTTAAAAAATAATGACAAAATACATTACAAACGGAATCATCATTTACTATTTCAAGCGAATAGTCATTCCAGCCCAGGGAATGATCATTCCATTCCATTCCAACTCATTCTAATGAACCAAATAAAGCATAAGTGTAAAACCACCACTTATGTGTAAAATGGAGATTTTATGCGACTCTTAATAAAAACACTGTGTGATTGGATAATAGGAGATTAACCTGGGTTGAGAAAGAAAAAAAGCCTACATTAGGATAGCACTTTAAGAGTACAGTTAGCACAAAAGCCCAGGCAGGTTTAAAAAGGGGTGTGGAAGCTTAGATCGCAAGCATTTTAAGGGTTTCCCTTAAAATGATGTCCATGAAAGAAGCTCGTGGGTTGCATTGGGTGGTCAATGCCCTTCTATTTATGGCATAGCAATGGATAGGAATGCTACAATGGCTTATTATTACTTTTGCAAATAAGGTACTCAATTTTATGGGATATTTTTTTTTACTATGTAACGTTAGAGATTGGGAGGTGGCAAAGTTGATGAGCTCCTTGAGAGGTTGTATAGGATGTCAAGTATTGAAGTGGGGTAAGATTTGATGAAATAGAGTTTTCTAAATGAAGATGCTTTCAGGTGAAATCTTTTTCAGAGGCATTGATTGGTCAATACATTTCCTCATTTCCCTTGGAAATCAATAGGATCAATAGCTCCACCCAAGGTGGCCACTTTGACGTGTGGTGCTCATGGAAAAATCCTTACTATTGATAATTTGGTCCATATAAAACAAGTGAATATGAATTGGTATTGCATGTGCAAGTAGCGAGAAAAATCAGTGAATTGTCTTCCCATTCGCTGTTGAATGACAAGATAGATTTAAACATCGGTTTTCTCTTGGTTTAGGATGGAATAGGTTTTCCCCTTTGGAGAAATTGAGCTTCTTCATAGTTTAAGAGAAGCTAGTGTAAAGAAGAGGATGAGAAAGTTGTGACTTTTGATTCCATTATGCATGATGTGGATCATTTGAAGGAAGAAGTATCGTGCATATTTTGATTGCACAGAAGTTCTATTGTATAGTTTAAAAGAACGTTTGCAAGTTTTTTATGGTCAGTAGTCCTGGAGTCATTAACCTTTTCCTTAATCAATTTTTGAATTTCATAGAGCTTTTTGGCTTCCTGACCATAAAGCCTTCACCAACTTACCCATTTATCCCTAAAATCTAATTCCTGCAAACACACCCTTCCTTTACCATTTGTCTTAAGCACCAAAACCAATAAGCACGGCTCCCCATATTTGAAGGCACTTGCACTCTACTATCTTCTAGCCCCCTCTTCGACAACCCAATAACAAACTACCTCCTTTGGCCTGGATTGCCTAGTTTAACTCTTATTGCACAGTCATGGCACTAAAACTCAAAAAGTTGCAACAATTATCGTAAACCTCTCCACCGTCCCCAAATCACCGATCATCCTCTTTCCTCACCTTTTGAAACGAATCAATAGTCTTCAAAATCTGATGTACAATCTTCCTCATGGCTCCCTCATATGGGATTCATCTCTCTCTCCGTAAGAGAACTTTCCTTGTGTATTGATTCTTAGGCAGTGCATAACTCGGCATCCAACTATCATCCCTAACCAATATTCACTGTTTAAGTTGGAATCCTAAACAAATAATCACCTAGTAATTTGTCCTCCTTAAATGCCTTAATCTCTAAGTGAAGCAGTTGTAGGGTGCTGAGACCAGATCCCCTGTCCCCGTATCCCGAACCACTCCTCTACCACACAAGCAAGCCTAACAAGACTCAACATATGGTACTAGTTTGGGACAAGGGTGAATGGGAACAAAGGATCCAGTGAGGTAGGGTGCTCTGGTAGAACATAGAGTTTAAGAGTAGGATGATGTGTTGTGTACAGTATATTGGGAACTGGATAGTAATTGGTTATTTTGAATAAAGCAGCACAAAAATATATCAAGGCAAAGGTGAAAAATGAGATAATACCAAAAATTAGGCACATCAGATGGAAAATTAGCTTTCACCATGGTAGTAGTAGTAGTGACTAAGCATTCCTACTTCAGTTGTTAATGTATAAAATGTTGCCATTGTCAGTAGCCTAACCTTTGTTGAATTCATTTACTTGAGCCATTTTCTTTTATGACTTGTACATTTCCTCTAACTTAATGAGTGAAATTGCAACTAGAAGAATAAAACACATCCTCAATTATGAAATCAAACTGCAAATTGAAACCCCAAATTGACAACCAAGTCCAACCCTAGTTCAGTAGATTAATCCGCGTCAACAAAATAAATCCCACACATTTCACTGATTAATTACAACCAAACACTCAAGCTTTCATACCCATAACAAAATTATAAAATCCCCAAATGTATTCTTCTTCAATTTCAACAATTCAATAGCACCAACTACCAATCCCATTAATTCCCAACAAACCCAGTAAAATTTAACCTAATTAAGTACAAGAAGATTATTCCATGGTTGATCTCAGAAACATGAAATGAGATGCAGCAAGATTGAAGATTTGAATGCTCACCTCAGACGCGTACCGGAGGAGAAGGGATTCATGATTGGATCCGTATTGAAAGTCCGCGAAAGCTCGATCAGATCCAGTTGCCAAGACTAGAGAAAACTCGATCGATCCACGGGTGGACCCAATTGATTATCAACAGTGTGTATATATATATGAATAAATCTATAGATAGATGAATCGGCAAAGCTGGGAATTCGAGATCTGAAGGGTTTGAGAGATTTGGATCTGAAACGAGACACGGAGAAAAAACTGAATATTTATATATCTCTGAGCCTGAGGAGATGAATATATGAAATGGAATGACGTTGCTCCTTCCACTTGCGGTGGAATGCGCTGTGCGTGTGTTCTTCTTTTCTTTGTGAAAACAAAATGGGGTTAAATTGTATTTTAACGTAGTGTTTGGTGACTGGGAAATTTATAAAAATGTTATTTTTATATTTAATTGATTGATTAAAAATATATAAAATTTATTGTTGTGTATAAATGGTCATTTCATAAATAAAAAAATTATAAAAGTGGTTTTTCATAAAATGAACAATAAATTATAAATAACTATTTGAAATTTGCTTAAAATATAAATTATTTTTGTGGTTTGAAAAATTATAAAAACTACATTGTTAAAAATTTTATTTAATATAATTAATTGAATAAATGATATTCATAACTGCTCTCATATACAATGATAAAATTATGTAAATTATTAACTAAAATAAATTTATGATATCATCAAAAAACTGTTAATTGACTTCATAATTTATTAATCAAATGAGTCATTTGTTATGAATTTAGAATTTCAAGGAATTAATCCAAGGGGCTATAACGACTTAGTAAGGCCTTGAGGCATAAGCGTTGCGGACTCAGGATCTATTTTCCTCGAAACTAGTCACCCAGGCGACAACACATACAGTTGGTAAGACAAATTTTCCAAGCCTAGATAAATCGTACCCAGTGTCAAGAGTGTCGATTCGAATTCTCATCTATGTGCGAGTCTGCGACTTATTACTACATAGTTGAGTGGCCCTACTACGTAACACCACTTAAAAGTTGACCTTTGGGACATCGACTCTTTATGATTTTTTCCCAGAAGTCACCTCTATGCAGTTAGGCCTATAGAAATTTAAAGGGGTTGAATATAATTTTAGAACTACATAGGACAAATATTAGATGGTGTATTTATAATTTACTCTGAAAATAATAAGGACCAACCCTTTAGTTTGTGTTTGTTTTACTAAAGAAATTTTAAAAATTAAAAAACGTCAAAATGTCTCATTATACACGTCAATTAATTAATTTTTCTTTCACAACTATCTATTCAATTAAAATCTTCTTTGAAAATGTAGACTTATAGTCAAACAATCATTGCAAATTATCAATTTTTTATTTTTATTTTTTTATACGTCTTTTTATAAAATCTAAAAAAATACAAAAACGTCAATTCCCAAACACTCTCTAAAAATACATTCTCAACCTATTGACTTTTTTCCTTCCATAAAAAACGCAAAAGACCACCCAAAAAAAAATGCAAAAAATGGCAAAAAAAATCAAATTCTCAAATGGGCACTTAGGGTCCTGTTGGCAATTGATTTTTTTTAGTCAAAAAAGCATTCTTAAAAAAGTTATAAAAAACTAAAAATTTATACAAAAAATCAAATATTCATTCTCATTCTTTTTAAACTCCCCCTAAAAAAATATTTTCAACACATTAAAAAAAATGATATTTACCAATAAATCATATCTCACAAACAGTTTTACCGATTGGTCCTAAGGTTATTTCTATTATTCTGATTAGTCCTATTAATGGGGAAATATCTTACCAGTTGATCCTATTCTATGCAGTTAGGCCTATAGAAATTTAAAGGGGTTGAATATAATTTTAGAACTACATAGGACAAATATTAGATGGTGTATTTATAATTTACTCTGAAAATAATAAGGACCAACCCTTTAGTTTGTGTTTGTTTTACTAAAGAAATTTTAAAAATTAAAAAACGTCAAAATGTCTCATTATACACGTCAATTAATTAATTTTTCTTTCACAACTATCTATTCAATTAAAATCTTCTTTGAAAATGTAGACTTATAGTCAAACAATCATTGCAAATTATCAATTTTTTATTTTTATTTTTTTATACGTCTTTTTATAAAATCTAAAAAAATACTAAAACGTCAATTCCCAAACACTCTCTAAAAATACATTCTCAACCTATTGACTTTTTTCCTTCCATAAAAAACGCAAAAGACCACCCAAAAAAAAATGCAAAAAATGGCAAAAAAAATCAAATTCTCAAATGGGCACTTAGGGTCCTGTTGGCAATTGATTTTTTTTAGTCAAAAAAGCATTCTTAAAAAAGTTATAAAAAACTAAAAATTTATACAAAAAATCAAATATTCATTCTCACTCTTTTTAAACTCCCCCTAAAAAAATATTTTCAACACATTAAAAAAAATGATATTTACCAATAAATCATATCACACAAACAGTTTTACCGATTGGTCCTAAGGTTATTTCTATTATTCTGATTAGTCCTATTAATGGGGAAATATCTTACCAGTTGATCCTATTTCCTTTGTTTAGTAACATTGAGTGGTCAATTATACCCTTCCATGTGTGTCGCGTGACATACATCATTCCAAGGCAAAAAGAATAAAGAGCCTTAGTGTACTTTGTTGATGTGTGGCATCCATTGTGTATGTCACGTGACATACATCACTCAAAGGCAAAAAGCATAAAGAGCCTTAGTGTACTTTGTTGATATGTGGCACACATTGTGTGTGTCACGTGACACTCCAAGACAAAAAGTATAAAGAGCTTTAGTGTACTTTGTTGATGTGTGACACCCATTGTGTGTGTTACGTGGCATATTGTGTGTGTCACGTGACACTCGGCAAAAAGCATAAAGAGCTTTAGTGTACTTTGTTAATGTGTAACACCCATTGTGTGTGTCACGTGACACTCCAAGGCAACAAGCATAAAGAGCCTTAGTGTACTTTGTTGGTGTACGGCACACATTGTGTGTGTCACGTGACACTTCAAGGCAAAAAATATAAAAAGCCTTAATGTACTTTGTTGATGTGTGACACCCATTGTGTATGTCACGTGGCACACCCTCATAAAGAGCATGCATCTAATAACATCTAAATGAGGACATTAAGGTCCCTCAAACTATCCAAGAACTAAACGGTTTATTAGAAAAAAATTGGGACTAATTGGTTCATAAGTTTAACATTTGGGATTTATTGATAAATTTTTGTTAAAAAAATCATTTTCCAAACCACGGGACGGTTGTGCTTGTGCATGTAATTTAAGTTGTTTATTTATTTTTCCAATTATGTAAGTCAATAAATATTTATCTTCTCCCAATGTAATAATTTAGGATAAATTACACTAATATTTTTTTGAGATTTAAAAAATATATATTGAGTTTCACAAATTAGGCATAGAATTAAGCTCTATTAAGGGTTTTAATTTATTCCTATTTTCATTAATGATTCGTTAAGTCATATGAATAAAAAATAATATTATTTTATACTTAAATGTATATATATATATTTTATCATTGCGTTTTATAAATTAAAATATATATTTGATGGGAACTAAAACCAAAGGAAACTAAGCTAGCCCATATGGTTGTCCCTCCAACAATAGACATGGCAAAAAATTCCAATGCATTATCAGCTCCAAACCCTTATTGGTTCAATCCTAAAAGGTTCATCATTAATTTAGTACGTTATTCTCCTTTTCCTAGTTCCAAACCTAGATTCTATTTTGAGAGAGAAGAGAGATACGTGGGAAGAACACAAAAAATCAAAGCGACATCGTTTTGATAAAATATTATCTCATTCATCCATTCATCCATTCATGTCACTTACGATGTGGCAAGTTCACAATTAAAGAATTACAAGATTAACAGAACGGAGGATTCTTGACTCGTTTGAGGGCTCACAAGTTGGTATCTTAATTGCTTGAGATTATAAAATTCCATTCAACCCAAGAAAGAAAGAAAAAAATGTCTTTTCTTTTGTCACTGTCATCGTCATCGTCTTCTTCTCCTCTGTATACTCCTTCATCGACATCTTCTCCTCCGTCTCCTTCTAAATCTCAAAGCTAATGAGTGGAAAAGTGCTAATAGTAGCCGCACCCCTTTTTACTTGAATAAGCCACTTCTTTGGGTCTCACTATCTACCAAATTGTTCTCCACATTTTTTTTTTCCTTTGAACTCTACCATAATCCCAATTATACCTATTTCTTTGGACTTTTACCTCGGCCAATCCATTCATATTGCAACCACCATCCATTGCTACTTCCTAACTTCCGACGGCCATTTTCATTATCTTCCTATTTTTCCCCGTCATTCCCTTTTGTCAATCCTTTTTCTTAGCCTTTGGCCCATTTGGTAGAATTATGAAAAGTAATTGTAGATTATAACTTAACAGATTATAGCTTATAGCTGTAAACATAAGCTATTACCTTGTTTGGTGTAACTGTGGGATTATGAATTTAAACAGTAGAGTAGTGTTTAATTGATAAGTTGTGAAATAACTTTTTGCTGTGTAATTATCTTTTTTGCCCTTATATGATATAAAAATGATTATTTTGTCATTTTTTCAGTTTAATTTTTAAAAAGTTATTTCATTAATAAAAGTTAATATAATTAGAGTTACAAAAATTATTATTTTCATTAATAGTATTAATTAGTACAAAATTATTTCATTTTTTCATTATAAATTAATTAATGGCTTAATTAGCATCAATTTTTTTTTTTCTTTTTCTTCATATTTTTTTTCTTCTTCTCCTTATTTTCTTTTCTCTTCTTGCTTTTTTTTTAATTTTTTTAATTTTCTTCTCTTATTTTTTTGGTTAATTTTGTTTAATGTTATTTCATTAATAAAAGTTAATATAATTAGAGTTACAAAAATTATTATTTTCATTAATAGTATTAATTAGTACAAAATTATTTCATTTTTTCATTATAAATTAATTAATGGCTTAATTAGCATCAATATTTTTTTTCTTTTTCTTCATATTTTTTTTCTTCTTCTCCTTATTTTCTTTTCTCTTCTTGCTTTTTTTTTTAATTTTTTTTAATTTTCTTCTCTTATTTTTTTTGGTTAATTTTGTTTAATTTATTAATTCATTACAATTAATATCCATGTATTTATATTAATGTTGTGATGTCATTACATATTATTTTTCTTTATATTAATTTCAATTAGTTATTTAATAGAAGTTACAATATTCATTTTTTTATTTCATTTAATATAAGTTACTTTGTTTCGTATTTTATTTTTCTCCTTCAATTTTAATTTTAAAAAAAGTTATGATTCTGTTTTTATTAAAAAAATTTCATTACAATTAATAATAT